CACAGAGCCGGCCACCATACTGTGACTCCGTAGATCAGTATTGGTTGTATTACGGTTGGTATTACGTGGGTTCATACCCCATTTTAGTCCGATGGCTTTTTTGCAGGTGTATAGGGCCATAGTGGCCTTCTTCACTCTTTCTTTCGTATTTAGGTTCCAATTTAACTTCCTGTCTATTACCAACCCAAGGTAACTGGCACTGTCGCTAAAGGTTAACATACATTTGTTTAGTGTTGGGTGGTTGAGTTGCTGAGTTTTGTACTTTTTAGTGAATAGCACAAGTTCCGTTTTCGAGGCATTTACACCTAATCCGCACGATCTTGTCCATTCTGACAATCGAGCAAGTTTTGTGGTCATAAGATCACAGAGTGTTTGGGGGAATTTTCCCGTGAACACAAGGACAACGTCGTCCGCATATGCCACTACCTTGCAACCACCCCCCTCCAAGTCACATATAATCTTATTGACTGCAATGTTCCATAGGAGGGGAGACAGGACACCTCCTTGCGGGGTGACCCTGTTTACATACCTTGTCTGAGTGGACGAACCCATTGATGATATCACCGTCCTGCATGTGAGCATTTGATCGATGAGCATCACCAAGTGGCAGTCCACCCCCAGGTCAGTCATGGCCGCCGTAATGGCTCCTGGCTCGACGTTGTTGAAGGCTCCCTCAATATCGAGAAAGGCTGCTAGGGAGTATTCCTTAAGGTGTAGAGCTTTCTCTATACCTGAAATCACTTCATGTAGGGCCGTTTCCGTGGATTTACCTTTCCGGTATGCGTGTTGTGAGTCTGCCAGCATCTGAGGGTTGATGATTGTCCTCAGATGTAGACCGACTATTCTTTCAAATGTTTTTAGGAGAAAGGAGGTCAGACTAATCGGTCTGAAGTCCTTTGCCGTCGAGTATGAGGCTTTTTCCGATTTCGGGATGAGTCTTCATTTCTGCCTTGAGCCATGCTTTAGGAATCTTTCCTACCTTTAGTATCTTTTTGAAGATACATTGCAGCCAGCGGATAGGTTGTTCCCCAGCTCTCTGAAGTTGAGCTGGGATCACCTTGTCTGGACCTGGCGATTTGAACGGTTTGAAGCTGTTCACCGCCCAGCAAATGTTCCGTTTTGTGAGTAGGTGCGCCATCGATGTGGCTGGGCCTTCACCGGGGCGTTCCGGTGCTTCGGTGGTTGTACACCCTGGAAAGTGGGTATCGAGTAGGATGTGTAGGGACTCCTTGCTGGAGTTGTTCCATGCCCCATCTGTACTCTTGATGTATCCCACAGAGGTATTCGTTTTCGAGAGGATCTTGCGCAACCTTGCGGCTTCTGACGTTTCTTCGATTTTGGTACAGAATTTTTGTCAGGAGGCTCTTTTCGCTCTCCTAGTTTCTTTTTTGTAAAGGGCAAGGCTGGTCTTGTAGTCTGCCCATAGATCGTCCTCGTGGCTGTTTTTGGCTCTATTAACATTAGCTCTGCAGCTTTTACGTAGGACTTCAATGGTCTTCGACCACCATGGGGGTTTCTTTTTCCCTCTCGGTTTGATGGGGGGACACGGGGCCTTAAAGGCTTTATTACATGCCTCCGTGAATCTATTTACAAGACTGTTAAGGTCATCTTGTGTATCAGGGTATGTTGATGCTGTTGGGGGAAGAAGTTCTTCCAGGGTTTTAGAATATGCCTGCCAGTGGGCTTTCCTGGGGTTTATATAACTATCTGCCATTGGGCATTCGAGAGATATTATCGTCTTTATATACCTATGGTCGGAGAAGGAGTGCTCTTCTAGGACTCTCCAGTCCTTGATAAAGCCTAGTATGCTATGGGACACTAGGGTGAGGTCTATGANCGGAAACAGTGGCCAAAAGCTAATTTTTAAAAGTTAAAACCAAGACTCGGTTTTTAACGCTCTGTATTAGAAAAAGAGTGACCATCAAAGTTGCGTATAAGAAATTTTCATAGATGGCGCCACTTTCGAAAAATCTGCTGTGAAACCTAGCGGTCATTATTGCACAGAATGTGCAGGGAAAAAGTACCAATTTTATTGCTGTTTTAAATATCTCATAAATTGGAAAATACGATTAACTGATCCAATATTTTTGATGCATTTTATTTAGTAGGCTTTTTACTACGTGTTCTGTAATGTGAACGATATCTAGTGGTTGGCGCCAACCACTATACCACAATAATATATTATTTGGTTAGTGATCTAGATGTAGTCCTGAGTGCCGGGTATAAAACTTGTGACGCGTAAGAAGCGTTACACACGTCCCTCCTCGTTTTGTTTTGTGCGGGCGCTGCCTCTACCGCGAGTCTGCAGTGTGTGGGTCTAGGGAAGGGCGGCGAGCTAAAGGAGCGTGTTGGTGTGAGTAGTGTTGTTGATGTAGATGACAGATGAAGAAAAAATTTAAAATTTGACTAAACACAGCTGAGGTGCAGATGCACTATTGTCCCAATGACCAGTTTTGGTGGCTGTTTACGCCAAATTAGCGCAAAGGGCTTATGGCCGGGAGCAATTAGTATTTTGTATAAGTAAAATGAATTTGTAGCATTAAGCTATTGAATTGTTGCATTTACGACATACTGACAGAAGTTTGTTGCTATAGAACATACATGTAATATGTGAATACGATAGAGAAAGAGGAAGAACATGCATTTAATAGGTGAATATCGAAATTGAAAAGAAGAGATTAAATTGATTTGAATTCCGACTCGGTCGAACAGCAGCACTTGGCTTTTTATTTCGAGATTTTGATTCTGAACTGGTTGCGAAGAGTTGCGGAAACAGTGGCCAAAAGCTAATTTTTAAAAGTTAAAACCAAGACACGGTTTTTAACGCTCTGTATTAGAAAAAGAGTGACCATCAAAGTTGTGTATAAGAAATTTTCATAGATGGCACCACTTTCGAAAAATCTGCTGTGAAACCTAGCGGTCATTATTGCACAGAATGTGCAGGGAAAAAGTACCAATTTTATTGCTGTTTTAAATATCTCATAAATTGGAAAATACGATTAACTGATCCAATATTTTTGATGCATTTTATTTAGTAGGCTTTTTACTACGTGTTCTGTAATGTGAACGATATCTAGTGGTTGGCGATGTCTTCTACATCTAGATGTAGTCCTGAGTGCCGGGTATAAAACTTGTGACGCGTAAGAAGCGTTACACACGTCCCTCCTCGTTTTGTTTTGTGCGGGCGCTGCCTCTACCGCGAGTCTGCAGTGTGTGGGTCTAGGGAAGGGCGGCGAGCTAAAGGAGCGTGTTGGTGTGAGTAGTGTTGTTGATGTAGATGACAGATGAAGAAAAAATTTAAAATTTGACAAATAGCCGCTAAGGTGCAGATGTTGTACTGAGTGCCGGGTATAAAAGTTGTGACCCGTAAGAAGCGTATCACACGTCCCTTCTCGTTTTTTTTGTATTTTTTTCTTTTTTTTATTAATATTTTTATGCATTCTGATCCCACGAGATGAAGAGAAGGGGAACGGTCAGCCCGGGCATAGATCCACGTTGCCCAGGTAAGGCATCATTAGAACAGGGGGCTGCCATTTCCCTGAGCTCTCCGTTCCCGACTGGGCTAGTTTTTATACCGGGCCCCCAGCCAGGCTGACTCTCGGCGGTTTGAGGTGGTTGGGTGAGGATGAGGATAGGTGTTGTGTGGGGAAGGGGAAGTGTGTGAGCTACTTAAACGAGGCAGCACCGTCAGTGTTGCTACTACGCGAACACCCGCTGGCTGTCCGGGGCTGTTTATTTCCGCTTATTCACAGCTGACCTATCCGCAACCTGCGACCCGTCCGGTGGCCTCAGCTATGCCCCTTGAGCCACCTCACGCTCGTTGGATTCATCGGAACCGAGATTGGCTAGTTTACATGACTTATTTTTATTGGAGTTTTATTGACCTTTTAAACTAGCTTAAGGCCACCAAACGGCAAAAAAAGGAAACAATTATTATAGATGAATGAGATTATATTAAATTTATTTGTATTTTTAATTTGTTTAACTTATTTGAACGCCAGTTGCTTCATGTTGCCAAGACACAGACCCGGCTGGGCTGTTAACAAAACGTTTTAAGTTCTTTTCCTTTTGGAACCAAGTACTGTTCCACAGGGTCGTGCCGTGGAGGGGCAAAGGCGGCGATTTGGACTCAAAACTGTCCAGTTTTCAATAGGAAGGGTGCTCTGTTTTACAACTTTGCCAAGGGCGCATATATTCCTTGGCACGGTCTTGCTGCTCCACCAATCAAAGAAGGCTGCAGATGTTATTCTCAGAAATATGCAAATTCTTTGTCATATTTTCAAACTGAGGAATATTCAAAAGGGTATTGTTTCATGGGTTTCCATAAAGGCACACATATTTATATGATTTTTAATACTCAAATGCATAGAAAAACGACCGTTCTGGTTTCTTTCCTGCAGATATGGGTTTAATCAAAGTTGTCGGCGCTTATTTCGTTGATTGTCCTTTTCCTCTGATCATGCAAGAGCCGCAAATCCCACTGGATGCAAAATGGATCCATGCATTAGATTGCTTCATCTAAAGCATGGATCCATTTTGCATTCATTGTTTAATTAAATTTGTATTATTTTTTTTTGTTGAGGTTTTAAGTTACCGCTCTACCCTTAGGTAGAGGGGAATTATTTGGCCACCCGCCTTTACAAGGGGGAAATCGCCACGTCGTAATATGTAACTTGTTACAGCTTTGCTCCAATACTTACCTGGCGTAGAGGTTATTTTCCCCACGTGCTTGCAGTGTGCCCAGACACGACTTGTGCCTAATTATTTAAATTTGTATTAAATTTTCACACATTTTCAAAGAGGTAAACAAAACAACACAGCTGCCTGAGAAGTGTAACCGTACGGAATGCGGTTTTCAGCTCTGGTCACCCTCTGATGCAAGCAAAATATATTGCACAGTTTGCTAGCAAACGTGTTTTTCGATCTGAGTACTAGGTTTTAAATAATTTTAGTTTTTAGCCCACTTGAACTTGTTTCGCTTGTTGCTTTCCGTGTTTCTTGTTTCTGTCGACATAAGATAGTTTATTTGTTTCTCTCGATGAGGGATTCTAGTATTTAATCGGTGTCACTGATATATTCGTGCTGAAAACTTTTCTGTCGATAAAAAAAATGGGCACAAATGAGAATTTGGAACCGACCATTTTAATTTATTGCCGGCTGTGAAATGAAAACGTGTGGTTCTGGAAGATCTTTTGAAATGACTACGCAGTTTTGCCATTTTGGTAGAAGTAAAACTAAAACTGATTTTCCCTGACTTATTCGTGGTCTCTAAACGCTTGGTAAACTTATTCAAATTAGTGTCAGATGATGAATAAAGGTCAAATTTGTTGCATTCGAAGGAGAGCGATAGGCAAAATACTAGATTTGGTAGTATTTTTTTGGAGGTTGATAGGTCGATAGGCGAAGGGGCAAGGCGATCAACGGTGCCGGTGAAAGAGCGCGAGGGGGGAATGTAAGAGAGGGGAATATTGAGGGATCCACGAGCCAGCTCACCCACACCCTCAAGAATGCCATGCTATGCCCTTGAATTTGGTTCAAGGGCAATAGAAGAGATGAGATCAGCTGCAGCAAGGGGGACTGCGTAGAGTAGCTACGCTGAACATGCCGGCAGTGGAAAAATAAACATCGGCAGTGTTAGGGCGTTTTGTGTGTGTGACCCTTTAGGAAAACAAACAGACCGGCCAACGTAGAGGACCTTTTTACCCGAATCTAAATAAAAAGTGAGTCCAGTCCAAAGGGAAAATGAATCCAAGATTCAATATTTTTAAAACCCATAGGGCATAAATTGTATCGGCTGGCTTCCCGTAGATGGGCCAAAATTAACATTCCCCGGCCCGCGGAATCCTGGTCACACCCCTGCCCGGGCGCGACCCGCCACGGCGCCACCGACAATTAAATAATTAATTCATGCATACATAAACGCATACCTATTTACATGCGTTTATAAAGACACACCAAAATAATATCTGTCTATATTAATTCATATTTAATTAATTAGCCGCCCCACATATATTTACCGACCCTATTAATGTAATATAAATGTAGTATTTGTATTTATATTTATTTTAATATTTATATTTATTATTTTTGTGATTATTCCCACCCATTAATTTAAGTTGAAGAGTCGGGAATAGGCGGACGCGCCACGAGACATTAGTATAGGGATTTTTAGTTAAGTATGTGTTAAGTTTTTGATTTAAATATTATAACGTTTGAAATGAAGTGCTAGTGTGTTTAGTATGGGGGGGAAAGGGGACCACAACTGCGCGATGGAGAAAGTCCGCCACACTTGGGAAGGAGATCTGAGGTATTCTGAGTCGCATCTCAGGTAGAGTACGTAGGAGCTAGACCATCGGCACCTCAGACTTGTCCACGTCTGTGTTGGAGAGATGTTTGTCCGTTAGATGTAGAGTAAAGTCCGATGCATTGTTATGAATTATCGTTTGTTTTTGATATTTGTTTGAGATGTCCGAACAGTTGGTTTGTTGTGCGACCTGGGGGCCTGGGAAGAACTCAGCCCTGGGATGACTGGCTAGCCGGCCTTGCCCCAACACCAAAACAGGTTCGTAACAAATTACAAATTCCTTTATTACTTTAAATTTCTAAGTTAAAATATTTTGGGTTAAAATTAGCCTGGCAAAACTATTTCAATTAGTTTATTTCGAATTTTCTGAGCAAAACAAAATTTGCTCTTAGAACTTTCGGAAATTAAAATACCCCAAAAACTAAGTAAATATAATTTGCGAGATTTTCAATCTAGGGTTAATGCATTGAAGCGACTTGCGCGCTCACTGCAAGACAACCAAACAAATTTAGGTCTTGGTCATCTGCTTTTGCAAAAACGAACAAAACACCGGTTGTTGCAGATGGATCTGCATCATATTGCAATTACGCACACGCCGGGAAGATAAATTCTGTCACAACTGTAAAGTCCCTGAAGATAGGGCCCAATCGGACTTACTTAAGTTCAGCTGCAGAAGACGATATGTTTGACGAGATCAATTAAAAAATAACGTTTTAATGCTCTACTCTTCAATACTCTTTTCTTTAGCCTTTATCAAGATTTTCTAGCATTTTTATGTTATTTATTCTAGTTAAGAAGACTGAAAAGATACCACATTCTCGATATCCCTGATAGATAAATCCAACCAACTGAAAAGATGTTATATATAATAGCAGGGCTCATTGGAAAACTGCTATTTCTGTTAATTGAATATTAATTATACAATTTACTTATTGTTTAAACAAACAGATTGTAAATATAAAGAGAGAGAATAAAAAATGTATTCTAGTTCTACTTTTTTATGACCCAAAGTTTTTGCAGCACTGATACCATAGCCGACAAAACCCAATATTGCCAGTAAGCTGTGTTTTTCATAAAGTGGCAGCGCCTGTCTCTCAGCTGTATCACATTTGTTTGGCCATCTGGTAGCCCCACGCAGATTTTGGCGCATATTGTTGGCGTCAGCGAGGCAGTTTTGTCAGAAATTTATATTTGAAATGTCTAAAAAACTGAACACGAGCGTGGGCGGAACACCCACAAACACGCTGTTTAACTATTTCAGCAAGTCACCAGCCGTTGACAAAAAAAATGTTGTCCCCACCTTAAAAGCGGAGCTAACGCACTCTGCCAGAACAGCCTGTGAAAAGGAGAATCTCAAGAATGGCAAGAACTTGGAATTGGAGAATGAGACCAAGCCTTCTGCAAAGAGGAAGTTGCCTGTTTCAGCTGCGTCTGATGAGGAAGAGCTGGGTGGTCGGCGCAAAAGAAAACGCATCATTCAACCCGAGTCAGAGAGCGAAGATGAGATGGAGGAGACCAAATCTGAAGACGACTTTTCCGGCGACGAGTCTGACTATGAGCCGGACGAAAAGGAGGATGCTGCGAGTGAAGAAAGTGAGAGTGGAGACGATGAGGTTAATGAATTTACAGAAAACAAAGACTTGGAAGACGATCTCACGGCCAGCAAAGGCTGCAGGAAAGACAAAAACTATAATAATAACAACAATGAGCCTGTGGGACAAAAGGTTAAACTGGCAGAAGGCTCCACTTTCCAGGAGAAGCTAAAAAACATTCAGAGCAATGTGAAACAGGACGCGGCTTACGATGATATAGTGACCACTTCCTCCAACCTTGATGAGCCTGTGGTGTGGCCTCATCAGAAACTCGAGTTCTTGCAGTCGGACAAGATTAAGGACAAGGAGGGCAGGCGTCCAAACCATCCGGACTACGACAAGAGCACTCTGTATGTTCCCGAAAAGTTTCTGAACTCCCTGACGCCAGGCGTGCGGCAGTGGTGGGTTCTGAAGTCAACCAACTTTGACTGCGTCCTGTTCTTTAAAGTGGGAAAATTCTATGAGCTGTACCATGGTGATGCCGATGTGGGTGTACACGAGCTGGGATTTACCTATATGCGTGGCGAATTTGCTCACTCTGGTTTCCCGGAAATATCCTTTGACAAAATGTCCACCATCCTGGTAGACAGGGGCTACAAGGTAAGCTACTTTTCCTGATTCCTGTAATCAAATCCATTTTATATAATCATCCGTCTTCCGTAGGTGGCTCGAGTGGAGCAAACGGAAACGCCCGACATGGTGACAGAAAGATGCAAGCACATAAAGGCCACCAAGTTCGAGAAGGTCGTGGCACGTGAGATCTGCCAAATCACAAATCGGGGAACTCAGGTTTTCGGGTCGCAGTGTAAAATCGGTCCCAATCATCAGCCCAACTACATGTTGGCCGTAGTGGAGCAAGACGAGGGCACGTTTAGCAACTATGGCATTTGCTTTATAGATACAAGCATTGGGGACTTTCACCTGGGCGAGTTCGAAGACGATAAGAACTGCTCTCGATTGCTTACGCTGCTCTCCCATCACATGCCTGTCCTTGTAAGTCATACGTCCATCATCTTGCTAGTCTGTCATCTGTCATAACCTTCCTTCCGTTTTAGCTTCTCAATGAGAGATGCGGCCTCAGCTTGCGCACGCAACAAGTCGTACGCACCGTTCTTGGAGGAATACTTAGGGAACAGCTGCCTAGCAATGGTGCTCATGTCTGCAGCGCTGAGAAGACACTAAAGCTGTTGGCTGAGCGATACTATGCCGGAAATGGATCAAATGACAACTGGCCTTTGGTTCTCCGCACTATGCAGTCCGATTTGGATCACTTGGGTCTTACGCCCTCCAACAGCTACAAGCTGGCATTGAAAGCTCTGGGTCAGTGCATATTTTTCATAAAAAAGTGTTTGCTGGAGCCGAAAGTACTTCCTATGGCTCGCTACCAACTCTATGTGCCGCCCGATCAGCTGGCGGAGGCAAAGCCCGCAGTGGCCTCTAACCTGAGACGCTTGCACATGGTTCTCGATTCGACAACACTTTCAAACTTGAGGATCATCGGCGAAGAACATACCCTGCAGTCCACCCTGGATCACTGCTGCACCAAGTTCGGAAAGCGGCTGCTGCACCACTGGCTCTGTGCCCCCAGCTGCGATGAAGAAGTGATAAAAGAGAGACAGGCTTCCATTGGAGAGCTGTTGCGGCTGCCCAGTGAGCTGCAGGAGATGCGGGCAATGCTGGCTCCCATGCCGGACTTCGAGCGCAATTTAGCGCAAATTCATCTGTTCGGCAACAGGCAAGTCAAACAGATGGCTCACCCTGACTCACGGGCTATTCTCTTCGAGGAGAAGATTTACAACAAACAGAAGCTAGTGGGCTTTATGGCGGTTCTCAAGGGATTCAATTCCCTGACCAAGCTACCTCTGATGTTCCAGCAGTGTGAATCTCCACTGCTCAAGAGAATTACACAGTTGGCTCCCTCAGGAGGAGTATTTCCCAATCTGTGCGAGGAGCTGCGGTACTTTTCCACTGCCTTTGACCATGATGCAGCTGCCAAGACGGGAGTAATCGCGCCTCAGCCCGGAATGGATGCAGAATATGATTTGGTCATGGATCGCATTGATGAGATTGAGAAACGCTTAAAGACCTACCTCGTGGAGCAGGAGCGTCATTTTGGATGCCGTGTTACCTACTTTGGTTCCGATAAAAAACGGTACCAATTGGATGTTCCTGAATCGCATGCCCACAAGGCCAATAAATCGTATTCCCTGGAAGGTCAGGCTAAGGGTAAGAAGCCCTCGCGTCGTTACACAACGGCAGAGACCAAGGTCCTTCTCAAGGACATGCAGCAGGCAGAAGAGGCCAAGAACGTAGTGCTGCAGGACTTGGCTCGCCGGCTCTTCGAGAAGTTCTCCTATCATTATGAACTGTGGAAGCAGTGCATCGACTGTGTCGCCAACCTGGATGTGTTGGGCTCCCTGGCGGAGTATGCCAGGCAACAGATAGTCATCTGTGTACCAGAGCTGGTCTCTGGAGTAGATCAGCCGTTCATCGAACTGGAGGAGGGCTATCATCCCTGTGTGAATGCCTCCACCTACATTCCCAATGGACTGGAATTGGGTACCAAAACGAAAGCCCCCCTATCCCTGTTGACTGGGCCCAATATGGGTGGCAAGAGTACGTTGATGCGCGAACTGGGACTGCTGGTGATCATGGCACAGATTGTGAGTGTCGCTCCATCTTTCGGATAGGAGAAAAATGTAACTATAATCTATTGTGATTTCAGGGGGCTCACGTACCAGCAGCCAGCTGTCGACTTTCCTTGGTGGATCGAGTTTTCACGAGGCTAGGCGCCCAAGATGATATTTTGGCCGGGCATAGTACGTTCCTGGTGGAGCTTAATGAGACTTCTCTTATACTGAAACATGCCACATGCCATTCGCTGGTGCTGCTCGACGAGTTGGGCAGGGGTACAGCCACTTACGACGGCACAGCCATTGCCGCTTCTGTGGTCAATTTCCTTGCGAATCTCAAGTGTCGCACCCTCTTCTCCACGCACTACCATAATCTAATCGATTACTTTCACAACGACCGTAGGATCGCCCTCGGTCACATGGCCTGCATGGTGGAAAATGAGGGTACCACAGACCCCACTCAGGAAACGGTTACGTTCCTCTACAAGTACACGGCTGGTGCTTGTCCCAAGTCGTATGGCTTCAATGCGGCTAAATTGGCTGGCATGCCCCAGGCCATTATAAAGCGGGCCTTTGAGGTGGGTGATGTTTGTGTTCTCAAATGATAATTTATCTGAACAAATTTGTCATTTGCAGCTCTCCAAGAAAGTGGAGGCCATTGCCCTGCAACGCAAGATTACGGCAAAGATAGTAGCTTCCCCGGGTGAGAAGGACTTCAAGCAGCAGAAACTAAATACGTTAAAGGACTTATTACAGCAGCTGAAAATGTGTCATGTCTAAGTAAAATTAGGATCAAGCGGATACATTCTGAGCTTTAATTTGTACTGATTTTGTTGAACATTGTCAGAATTGGTCATTTTATTTTTGTATTTGTATTATTAATTTTTGGCTTTTTCCCAATGCCAGTTCGGCTTTTCCCCAAAATGCCGTTGGAGAATACGTTTATTTTTTGTTCATTCTGTAATCCATGAGATATTTCTTTCGTCTGAAACATGTTCGTAATTGTACTTAGGTTAATTAAGATTTATGTTTTTCATTTGAGTAGGAGACTCGATTAAACATTATACTTTGTCCTACCATCAGTTGTTTACAATCTCCGTCCCATGTTGTTTCTTACTAAAAATTGATCCTATTTTTTGTTCTTTGAATTTCATTTGAAAGTAAAGTTCACAAGCGTCGTTATTTTTTACATTTATTATTAATTCTTGTATCACAGTAAAAATTAAAAATTAAATAAGTTCACAATCAAAATACACACAGACAGATGATATTACTCATAGTACTTATAAATTAAATGATATACAACAAATATAAATACTAAGTCTAAGAAAAAACATCGCTTGCTAATTAATCTGACCAGAAATCAATTGTATACATATACATATGTACAACCACACATACAAGATGAAAATTGATTGTGTGTGAAAATAGGAATGGTGCTTGCATTTTGACTAATTCAGTGATGGCTTTTGGCGAAGGACTTGCTTGTGCGAATCGATCCCAAAATAGTTAATTGGTTAGCTAATAGGCTAAATAAGCGCGCCGAGTGCTACTAACGGTCCAACCGGTCCAACCTAGCCAATCTAGGTAATATCTAGAACAAATATTAGCTTAAAACTCATTAAAAAAACATATACATTTACACGAAAAATATTTTATGGCTATCCATCAGTTGTTTGCTTGCCAAAAGTGCTTACAAAAAGATCTATTCACTTACAAAGCTACATACATATTTAGCGGATGGCTCATCCCCGTTGCAGTTAAGCTAGTAAATACATACTAATGTATGTACATATGTATATGTATGCATTATATTTGCATTAATTTGTCTTTCGTCTTTCCTCTCGTTATACTCTACATTGGACTTGCGTTTAGTTTAAACAACTATACAATATATAACCTATGTACGCTTTGATGTTATATCCACATATAACTAGTCTAAGTTTCTAGATTCCCTTATGTCTTTGTTGTATTGTATATGTTACATCAATCTGCCGGGAGATCTTTTAGTCTATGGGCTAGTTGGAATACACTGCTCTGCTTCTGTGCTTTTTGATTTCCTCATGCAACTCTAGTGCTAGTTTTGAGCTCTCGTTAACTTACGGCTAGCTACAAAAACCATTCACTTAAAACTCCGATAAAAAGTAAGCAATTCTTTACACATGTATAGCGCATAATGACAGTGAATAGTGATAGAGGATGGTGAATAGTGATAACATCAAACACTGAAATCTATATTCCAACGCCCACTATCTGGACCGACTCAAGCATTCAGTCGTCGATGATCACGTCCTTGCGCGCCTTGAAGTTCCTCCATGAGCCGTTGGTACAAACGCCTGCCCCACGCCACCAATCGTTTAGGTCGCTGTACCAGCGAGGCTTACGGAGCTGCTCTTCGTTGTGGAGCGTGGCGCAAACCCGGCACCAGTAGTACGTGTTAATGAACTCACCCGTGCCCTTCCATTTGAAGTACGAGTTGTAGAGTTCGTCGTCTCCGTCAAGAATACGCAGGTATTCGGCCAACTCCTTGGGCGAGGCAAACTCATCCACGTGGATGTAAGAGCGACGCGGGGCGCTCACCTCATAGTCCTCCGGCCGGGCACCCATCACAATTGGCAGCACCCGCCGATTGAGGGCATTGACAAAGAATTTCTCCGTGATGTAGTCCTTGCAGTTGGAGTTTTCGAAGGCCAGGTAGAACTTATAATCGTTGTCAAGTATCTCGAAGCATTTGTCTGCCGTGCTACGCGAGCACTTGAAGTTTCCACAGGCACCATATATATCAACCTGTTGGGACAATGGAAAAAGTGATTGGATCGGTTAACTGGCAAAAATATGTTAGTAAGTATCTTCTCCTGATCCAATCCAATGCCAATCTCTACCTCGATGTGTTTTTGCAGCTCGTGGGCATACCGGAGTCGGCCATTCCTGGCGCCACAATTGGACACGAACCAGGCCACCTTCTTGGTTTTGTTCACGGCATAGTTGTGGTCCTGCTCCTGCTGCTGCACTTTGGTATCGTAGTACTGCCACTTCTCATAGGGCGCAACGATGGTGCTGTCGCGTCTGTGCATACAAGAAGAAGCAAAGAAGTATTTAAGTATGTATCTGATTGAACAAGAACAATAGGAAGTCAAGGAGTCACCTGTAGGTGGCCGTCCAGTTGATAGCATCTGGTGCCTTAACATTCTGAGTGTGATAGGGACACTCGAGATAGTAGAGCATGCTGACCTGCTTGGCATTGCTGGGGCGACGTATTGCTGTTGGAATGTAGTGATCTTTATAGAGGATCATATCGGCTGTGCTGGCCATGTCTCGGTTGGCAGTTAATTCGCATGTGTCCACCGGACACTTGGCGTTCAGGAAGACTTCGCGCCCCTTCTTCACGTTCCACGGACCCAGGCCGTTGTAAAGGAGGATAGTTTTCAGCTTGCCGCTAGCCTTGATTACCTCATAATTGTGTGGCACGTACATGAGCTGGTTGACAATTCTGTCGTTGTGCGAATCCTGATGCGGCAGCAGCTTGGGAGCATAACGCTTTCGTTCTCGCCGATTGCTGTAGGTCTTGGATGGGCTGGGATAATATTCACCATTGCGGAAGAACCAAGGCTTAGCAGGTGCCGGCTCTGGCTCCGGCTCCAGATATCGGTCGGCCTCGATTTCCTCATCCTCGACATCCTCCGTCTGCTGACCGTCCACTGATGGACCTTGTGCTGGCGCTGCTGGTGAGGCCGAAGTGGCGAGTAAAGGTGCTGGATTAGAGCTAGATGTTTCAGGCGTTTTGCTGAGCTCCTCGGAACAGTCCACTTCCGTGGCTGGAAATTGTTGTGGCTTTTGCTGATGTTGCTGCGTAGTTGTCTGTATTGTTCGGGGACTGCGGGTCTTCCATATTTCATATTCCCTGAAGGATACGTTTTTTAAAATTGAGCTTAGATAATGACAAAATGGTATCATCACGTATTCATTACTCACTTGAGATTGAAACCATATATGAGCAGCAGAGCACAGATCAGTGTGAAATAAAAATACTTTTTCAACGAAATTTTTGGTCGTCGCATGGTGAATTGTGTACGCTACTCTAATCCCTTGATTGTTCTTGGACTACAGGTTCGATTCCGATGATCTGACGTCAGTTGCGTCTTCCACATTCAGCTGGCGTTTGTCATTTCGCTGTGCAAAAAGGTAAAGCAAATATTCAAGTAAACACTCTTTGACTGTTTACCAAGCCCTCGTCCCCAAACCACAACAACATTGCTCTACTAATTACTCATGATAATTATCTCGGACTCGTTCAACTCTGCTCTAGTTCTGGCTCTGGTTCTACTCCATTACTCTCTACACAGAGTCCATGCTTCTTGCTTAGACGCGCACTGAAAACTGTTACCGAAATCAACAATGAGACTGTTTCGACCCAGCGACTGTGTGACGGTACAAGTACTTACGAGTTCATAAACTGGCCTGTGTAATCTATTTATTATAATATTGTGATACTCGTATACATACGCAATTCTCCAGGGGATGTAGATTTATTTTATAGTTAGAGTCGTGTAGCCGGTTAGCTGCTACTGATACGATCTCTCACCAAAGCGAAGCCCATCGAATCCATTAGATGGCCGCCATTAATTCCATTTCGCGTGGCAGTTTGGTTTTACAGAGGAGCGCCTAATAACGTGGCACGCTCAATCAATAAGTATTCGGAATTCTTTAAACTAAATTATGTGCTGTATGTCATACTTCATATGAGCCCTGCTTAAATAACAAAAACTATAGCTTGTTTACTTATCGTTTGTTTTCCACTCATTTGAGTTGTCTCGTCTCGGGGGTTGTGCCACATCGAGCAGCGGGGCGTATACGTAATAAAAACGAAAGAAGAGGCGGAACTAGCAGTGATGGATGGATGGGTGGATTCAGGGAATGGGATGATGGGAAGCCGGGAGGCAGAGTACTGCAATGAATGAAGTTAAATCATGCTACTTACTCAGGCTTTTATGAGTTTGATCGTAACGGGCGCCTAATTACTGGTGTGGAAAGAGAAGGACCGGGTCAGATTCAGTTTCATTTGTGCTGGGCACTAGCAGGGTCTTATCCCATGCAGCACCAAGTATCCATCCGTCTATCGCATATCATTTATGGCACTTTTTACCTCTTGCTCTATGGTGGTGTGGCGTGGTGTGTGTTCTTCTGCTTGTGGTTGCAAATAAAATAGGGGCGAAGTATTGGGGCTGGCACTGCACCCAAGTCGACTTCCCCATTCCGAACATTTGATCCACAGCCACAACCCAACTGCTACTTCATTTGGGTCTTCACTATCGAACTTTATGACGTTTTTGACAGGCAAACAGAGTAGCCGCACGGTAAAGGAGATGCAGGGGAATGGGTTGCAACACAGTTTTTGCATAAAAAATTAAGTACATTCAGTCATTCTTCTTGCAAAAGTAGGACTCCAATAAAACACGAGCCACCGGAAAACATATCGCATATAGATATGAAAATATGTACATATGTATGTAAATATGTACACATGTATGTATTTCCATGTGTGTGTATATAAACGCCCATAAACTGATGGGATTGATTGTGAATTTTGCATTTTTTACAAGGAGTCCAAATTCAGCATGGATGTCTTCTCTTTCCGTTCAATTCAGTTGTCTAGCATTAGATAGAAAGACTATTATATTATTAAATAGATTATTACTATTATCTAAATGAAGACCTATTTTAAAAATCAACACCCCACAGCTTATACCACTGCAACGATTGCCTTTTTTACACCCGGTACTCGAATAGTAACACACAGAAGGAAGCGTTTCCGACCCCACAAAGTATATATGTATATTCTTGATCAGCATCAATAGCCGAGTCGTCTGTCTGTCCGTGTGTGCGTCCTGATGAGCGCCTAGCACTCAGAGACCATAAGAGAGAGAGCGCAACCAAGTTTTGCATCCATATTTCTGTAATATCGCACTGTTACAATGTGTATTTAACAATTTCGCCTCTGATCAACTGATCAAACTCGATGGGATCGGAAATTCTTTCTGCTGGTTTTTACACATGTAGGTACATATGTATGTATGAAAGTACATCTACACGAGACTTATATATGTACATACGCCTACACATTGAGTTCCAAAAAACAAATTTAAAATACCTATCCCCAAAATCATCCATTAAAGATAAACGGTCTTTGCCCACACGTTCTTTTATACACGGTACTCGAAGAGTAAATAAGGAATATTGTAAATCAGAAGCAAGAACCACAAAATTTTGCAGCCAGATGGCAGGGATATCACACAAGAGAATTTTAAAGCCACCCGAAAAGTAACTCACCCCCTTCCTTTACTAGTAGGATATGGGAGAAGTGCCTACTGTAAAGGCACTTAATCTATGACTTCAGTGTGTCAATATAACTAGAGAAGAGAAGACTGTGAGAAGGGTGGAGGCCATGCCCAACACTTGACTTGCATGCATTGTTGTCCATGGATATCATAGTCCATAGACGTTTCTTGGGAAATGTTCATTGTTCACTTCACTCCACACGTTTTGCCCCAACAAAACCTCTTAGTCAAATTTAGATTGGGTCAAACCTGCGGTCCCTTTTGAAGGAGGTTCTAGATTGGAGGACCTCTGACGAGCCCCACTTTTTTTTCGTTTTCTTTATGTAGTAATAAAATGTTTTTATTTATACTTCCACACAGTCACATGAGCAGAAACCGGACTGGATGGGTGGGGGGTGTCATGCCTATTCGGCCATCCGTCCGTGTTTTCACCCTGCTAGACCAGGCCACGCCACGCTTTACGCACGCCGTCTGTCTGTCTGCCCTGTGCGTTATGTCTGTCCCGCTCTCCAAATGTACATTGTACATGCATACATATGTGTGCGTCTGGTCTGAGTGTCGTGTGTCTTTCTTGGAACGCAGTTGGCAGTTGCACTTACACAATTGAATCGCAGTTGTTCCTCGTATCGCCAGTGCTGCTGCCTCAAACTCTTCTTCTTCCGAAGGCTTTGCTAATTCGAGCACATTTTTCAGACTTTGTCATATTTGCACTTTCCAAAATAGAATTTAAATTGTTCCAGGATTTTGTTATTTTTTTTCCACACATACGAGTTTGTCCATACATACATACACATGTAAATGTCTATGAGGCGCAGAGGCTGTCCTTGCCTTTTCACGTAACTTTTGCAACTGCGCTGCCCACCCAAAGTATAGCTGCGGTGCTGGCATCGTCATCGGCTGAGCTACCTTTGCTTTTGACCAGACAGCTGGCACCCGGAGAGAGAGAGAGAGAGAGAGTAAGAGCGAAAGAGTCATTGTTTTCGCATACAGTTTGCATGCAGCTGTTGAAACATCTAGTTGTGCGAAATATTATTCTGTTTATTTATCACATAGTGCTTGGAACTGCGCCTAAAAGATGCTTTCAAAATTTATTCTTTTACTAAGTTGACAAGTATTTTCGTATGAATACTCTGCGCAGGCTCCGTTACCGCCTCACAGCTGTCCGGGGCAACTTTCTTCTTATCAACATTCCCAGGGCGGTTTTCTTTTCTGGTGGTGCATTAGAAATGTTATATCTACATACATACATACATATGTATGTCGTTCGTGCCGCCAATAACTATACTTTCTCTCTAACTGAAGTTTTTTCAAATTTTGCTTATCTTTGAATTTCCAAAGATCCCTTCAGATCTCATTTACGCTATTATTGTTGTACATACATATATATACAGTATTACAGTTTCCGTTTATTATGAAAGGCCTTCCAGTTGCTCGCTTTGTAGGTCCCCCGTTTGCCGGTCAACTTGACCAAAGGATTCCAAAATGCGATCTTCTTATCGCTACCTTACATACTAGGTTCTGATTAAATATTCTTAAGAGTTAGACTTAATACGGAATTTGGGACGATACCATGCCTTTACAAACAGGTTTCTGTAGGTAATTATCAGTATTAAAAATTAATACGTGAATTGAATGTGTGAATGTGTGTATGCATTTGCATACTACCTTACTACACTCAAATCATATGTAGTGCTAAAATTGTGTTAAGACCCTGCTCAGAACAGATCTATACATATAAAGGTACAAACACATGTATGTTTATGTGTGAGTGTCCATATGCGGTACCGTCGTAGCTTAGGCAGAACTGAAAGTCTCGTAGACATTGGCCCCCAACGTCTTCGACTTCTCCGCCAGCAAGTAAAAGGAGAGCAACTGGGTGGGCAAGTTTGTAGCCCGCGACGCGCTGTCATAGCCTCTTGAAGTGATCCCACTGATTATTGGTATCAGCTTGGCCATGGCCATCAGAACCGTGTTGATGTCGAGCATGTTGTTATTATCGACCGCCTGGCTGCTGGGATAAGAGCCACAGCTGTTTCTCTGGTTGCAATTCAAGGGCAGCTGTGGCTCCGGTTGCTTCTGCACTTCTGCTGGGGGCAGATGCTGCAGGGTCTCGCCAAGGGACTCAGCAATGACATCGCAGGCCAGCACAAAGCCTCGAGTCACATTATGCGAACACACGCCGATGGCATCTTCGCTCTCCAAGAGGTCTAGAGTCTCGTTGTACATCTGCTGGAGCAACGGCGAGAAGCTTGAACTCTGAGAGGGCAGCAAGTACTTCGTCATCTTGGAGTTGGGATCTCGACGAGTGTCCGCATTGATGGCCATTTGCAGAGACCAAAACAGCTGCTCCAGGTCGTTGAGGGAGAGCTGACGTGAGAGGGGCATAGACGACTTCACCACTGCGATCACCTGAGTCCGTATATACCTAGTGAGATCTCTAATACCGTCTTCTGTAATGAAGTGTCGGATAAGCGAGAGATATTGATGCTTAATCTCATCGGTGATTCGAGTCTGCTCTAACGTGATGTCACGGTAAATGTAGCCACCTAAGACATTCAGCTGCACTCTGAGGGCAATCACCAACATAGACGAGGCGTAGACAAACGTGGCCAGACGGGTGAACGCCACGACCTTCATCTCTTCCCACAGTTCCACTTTATTTTTTGGATTCTGGCGAAGCTGCTGGAGCAACTCGTCCGTGCTGCACTCTCTCAACACAGCATCACACATCTCCTCGCCCATGCCCAAAATCACTTGGTTGCAAGTCTTTTCCGTCGACTCGAAGTGATTCGTTCGCCGCGTCCGCTCGAACATCTCACGAGCCTGCTTCTCTTGCATCTCCATCAGCTTGCGTTGGGCGTACCGGGCCGCATAGTAGGCTCCACCAACCAGTACTCCCGTCACCATAAACTTCCGGCGGTGGCGTGACAAGAAGTCCTGCAGGCGTGACAGCATATTTGTGATTGAAATGGTGCCCTTTTTAAACGTTCTGCTCAATTTCGTCTTCTCCGACCTGGCTTGTGCGTGTGAAAAGCGACAAATGCTCGTGCCACTTTCTCGTCCGACGGCTGCAGTCCAAAAGAGAGTTCAAATTTAATACATTTTTAATGTACAAAGTTCATTTGTGTGAGTTAGCTAAGCCCTGACGACGGCGCTGCCGTTGTTAACCGCATAGATTAGATTAGCCGGAATACTTACAAAATTCAGCTAGATCGCTGCGGCTTGGTTGCTGGCTCTTATCGATTCGATTGTAAGTTTTATTATTGGTGCATTTGCACGGATTTTTTTTTGTTTTTTGGAATGTTCGTAAAAATATTTGTTGATGTTAAAGTGAGTGTTTGCTGCTTTGTTTGTAGTGTTGATGAACGATTCAATTTAGCGAGAAAATTGTATGCGTTATTTTGTATTGATAGCTACACGGTGTATTAGCACAACGAGGTGAGTCCATCAATTTTAAGTTATATCGTTTTTTTTGTAAGCAATCCAATAAAAGAAGTTATAAAGAGCAGGCCAATCTTGTGGCGAATGTATTGCACAATCGTAGAAAATTGTAGTTCCACGGCTGATTGTCTTAGTCGAATGGCAATATTAAACAGAATATTCAAATCGAGTAAATATGTCGACCGAGAACGATTAACCTTCTGTTGACCAATGGGTGTTTAAGTGCAAACAAGGAAATTAATGAAACTTAAAGATTTTTAATGCAGTTTAGCTGAATGATATCGAATTTATTAGTAAGGTGTTAGATGGGTGTCTACAATAAACATTTAAAAGCAGTATTATTTCTCCAAGTTGGACAAAGTGTTTAACTATTTAAATGGCGGGCGTTCAGCTGGTTAAATTTGAACAGTCACTCGAAGCGTTTGAGCCATGACCCCAATTAAAATAGAGATCAATGGATTATCGGATAGCTGCTGCCCCCTGCTCCAATAAAGAAATACAAATGAATTCTTTAAAGAAATCGGTGTGGAGAAGCATACAATAAGACTGACGGTTCGCTTGCGACAGCTGGTGGCTAATTTCTCCGCCTTTTTTAGGTAAACAATTTTTCCTCTTGCAGATTGGCCTTGAATGGAGGTTGTAATCATGGTGAAACCAGTTGAAAATGGTTAGTGAGCGATCATCTGGATGCGGGAAAGATGAAATTCCTTGTTCATTGACGTCCAGAATGCAGGACCAAGGCGTGGCCACAGGCACAATCTGACAATGTGCATCACAAGTAAGTAAATGAAAACGCTTCGATAGTGCCAAATAAACGTCCTGATCTTCTTATAGGATAGTTGCTGATGCGGCCGTCAGATGCATTCAGATAAGGCTCGCCCGCACAGCTGATGGCATGGAGCTCGTTGGTGTCGCTGCCATTTAGGGTGGGATAGCGCACCTCATCCTCTTCGATATCGTCGGCAGAGTCGAAATTCTCCTCATTAATGGTGGATATCACCATTGTGTGCGACATTTTCTGGCTTTAAGTTGGCCAGCGACGAGTATCATTTGCTTGGATGGAGAAGAGTGCCGTTTCACCGGCAGTGACTTTTGGCCAAGGTCTTCAGGACTGTGGATCCTCCGGCAAGGACACCTCGCCGCCGTTGCGATGTAAGTCCAACCACTCATCGGAGCTCAGAGGCAGAACCTCAGTGCCATTGAGACCGGCAAAGGCGCGATCGATTCACATAAGATTGATTAGTCCCAGTGAAGGAGCTTAAAGGAGTGCCGAATGTTACTCTTCACCAGATTGGCCTGCGAACCTGCAAAATAAAGTTAAAGGGTAACAGTTTGAAAGTGAAAGTTTCAATGTGGAAATGACCTGCCATCCAACTTGTTCTCTCAGATCGTGTACCTCTTTGGAATTCATCTGGATAGCACAAGCAGAATAGCCACCTCGATTAAGTTACAACCCTAGGTCGAGCCTTGGCCAGGCCATTAGCTCGGGCCAGCACCATTGCACCGTCCTCGTGTCTGGTGAAATTTCTGGAAGCTTCCTACTGACAAATTGACGCACAAGACATGGAGAGTACATGTTATAACGAGAAGGGACGTGTGAGACGCTTCTTACGCGTCACAACTTTTATACCCGGCACTCAGTACTACATCTGCACCTTAGCGGTTATTTTTCAAATTTTACATTTTTTCTTCATCTGTCATCTACATCACCAACACTACTCACACCAACACGCTCCTTTAGCTCGCCACCCTTCCCTAGACCCACACACTGCAGACTCGCGGCAGAGGCAGCTCCCGCACAGAAAAAAAAACAAATATAAACTGCGGGACGGGGTGGGTTAAAAGTCATCAGAGGCGTTGGCAGAGGCAGAAGCCGAGTGAAGCAGAAGCAGAGTGTGAATGAGAGAATGTGAAAAGAACAACAAAAGCTGCGGGACAGGGTGGGTTTAGCCACCGCAAATTAATTTCTTCATTCTGACTATAATAATGATCCAATCGGATCCCAATTTGGTGATCTTTAGCTGCATTACATTGATTTTTTTCCAAAGGCGATTCCTTAGATAGTACGAAAATTCGGGATGCCTGACTCTGTTGGTAATATTTAATTTGCATGGGATCAAAGTTTGATAATCAAATGCATAAATGCATAAACTTGTCTATGTCAACCCTATGTATATATGTATGTAGGTACATACAAACGGGCCACATTCAACAAACAAAAAATTCAGATTATACTTATAGATTATTTATACCATTCATACCTTAATGGGTGTTATGATCATGTCGCGGTTCGACCCGACGTGTTCTGGGCACTTCCAGAGCCGAAGCCTCATTATACCCGGTACTCGAAGAGTAAATAGGGTATATTGTATTTGTGCACAAAGTATGTAACACACAGAAGGAAACGTTTCCGACCCCATAATGATCAGCATCAATAGCCGAGTCGATTGCCGTCTGTCCGTCCGTCCGTCTTGTTGAGCGCCTGGATCTCAGAGACCATAAAAGCTAGAGCCATCAAATTTTGCATCCAGACTTCTGTATACTCACACTGTTACAAGTGTATTTCAAAAATGATCCACGCCCCCTTCCGCCACCGCAAAAAGGCGAAAACCTCCAAAATCTACAATTTTGAAGATAAAAGAAAACTAAAAACGCCATTCCGTAGGGAATGGCCATATCTCTCTGATCACCAAATTATTATTATTTATATATATTTTATATTTGTTTTTTTCACATTCTCTCATTCACACTCTGCTTCGCTTGCCCTGACTCTGCAGTGTGTTTCTCTAGGGGAGGGTGGCGAGCTAAAGGAGCGTGTTGGCGTGAAAAGTCTTGTAGATGTAGATGACAGGTAAGGAAAAAGTTTAAAATTTGACAAATAACCGCTAAGGTACAGGTGTAGTACTGAGTGCCGGGTATAAAAGTTGTGACGCGAAAAAAGCGTCTCACACGTCCCTTCTCGTTTTAAAAATGACAATGGAAACATATGAATTTATTTTCGGACTTGAATTATCCGCATAACGTTGAACTCTCTTTGCTTCGTCACATGACTCGAAAGAGACAAAAGCGTTGTTAGAAGGGAAAATGGTAAAATTCGTCTTTCATGTATGAATACATTATGTATACTGTATATTTTATATAGAAAATAAAATTAACACATGCAATGAATTGTATTATCCAAAACTAGATTCAAGAAGTATAATTTATATGGAATTTAATTTACACATGCAGAAGCGTCCACTTGTTGAACGCATTCTTGAATGATTTTCAAAACAATATCCGCCGTTTGGAGGGTACTAAATGGTCTATTTATTGGGGGTACGTGCACAAACACACTTCTCTTGGAGTCCACGTCGAGAGACTTCAGATATATGTAGCCGCATAGAAAGTCGCCCACATTTTTGGAGGCCCTTGTAGCACCCAAAGGCTTATCACTGTTCGAAAGTACGGGGGCCACACACGACTCGCATGTTGCATTTACAGCCTCTACAATCTTATCCACGTCAAGGCCACAGCGCAAAACATTTGCCCTGCCATTGTGCGGGAGGACACAACTACCGTTGGACAAATACTGACCGGAATTGTCTGCCCGCCGGAACTTGTGGTTATAGGCCAGCTTCTCGACATAAACACATTTAGCTATACCCGATACTCCGACATGTATGACCATCTGTGTTGAATAAATGACGTCAGCAACGCAATTGACGTGATCTAGGGATAAAATAAACATATTTGCCTCTGGCTGGCGGCTCCATATCTCTTTACACGCCTCATCCACTGCTCTGTACTCGACCGGAACCAGGCGCTTCACCACTACATATTCAATGCCATTGTGAGTGAGCATCTCCGGCAGCAACTTTACAGCCTCCCAACTGGCATTGATCTCCTCATGTCCAATAAATGGTCCGAAACCAGAGACAACAATTAGTTTTCCCTCCGACGACGACATCGTTGGATTTGTAAATCTTCAGTGTGACAGCGGAATTATTTTTATTTATTTTTTTGTAATCTCGGTACAGCGAAATTGGTTGGTCAATGAGTCCGCATTGACCAGGTACTTTAGTTTATGTTGGATATTATTTTTTTGAATATGTTCAATATTAGAAAAAAATGTTACTGACAGCGAAATTATCGATCAAATATACCGTGAGGGCCTCGAAAATATACCTAAATATACTTTTTCATTTTCCAAATATACCGTCAATCTAAAATCATTTTCTTCGATTTTGATATTCAATTTAATATTAACAGGACTCTCAGCTTTAAAAATTTAATTTTACTCAAATTATCATTATATTCTCCGCAGGATTTGCTGATTTTATGATACATATTTCCTCAATTGATTGCATAACTAGGTTAAAACTAAACAGTTCAACCAAAAAATATATATTTTCTATCTTTATATTATAAATCCATTAGTTCAAGTGCTTTTAATAATTATTAATGACTTTGTCTTAAGGCTAGTACTCATTTCGAAAAAAGGGAGCCGCTAGAAAAATCAGGGATGATAGAAATGTTGTCGCGCACAAACTACTTACTTGCTGCTATACGCCAGCACTAACCAAATAGTATAGTATAACCTACATTATTTGGTTAGTGACGCCAGGCAGTACCACTAGTGGCCAAACTCTCTCAGCCGAAGGCTCTCTCACTATACTGATTAGGCAGCCAGTTTTTACTCGATTTGTAGCCTCTATATGTTTTTTGCTTAGTGATGTTACATACACTGACATACTGAACAAAAATGAATGAAAAATTTAAATACGTATTTGTAAAACATAAGCTCATAAGGTATACAATCCAATAAAAACAAGTATTTAAAATACGTCAAATTGATTCCCCAAACGGATTAAATTATTGTTTCAGTGTTTAAAGTCTTTGCAAGCTAGTAATATTAAATAGAACATCAAAATCAAGGAGTGGCATTCAAGACTACGGTATATTTACAGTCATTTCGAAATGCAATGGTATATTTTGGTTTATTTACGAGGCCCTGACGGTATATTGTATCGATATTTCCGCGGTCACACTGCCCTGAGCTGAAATTTTAGCTTAAAACTGTTGACAGTCACCCAGCACCACCATTTGCAACAACGGCAGAAGTGTGTTATATACCCCAATATATTACTTAGCATATACAAGTGCCCGCGATGAAATTCCTAATCTGTGCACTGCTCGCCGCGGCTTTCTACGTGGCCGCTGGCGAAGTCAAAGTTGAGGAGGGTGTGCTCATTGCGACAGTGGACAACTTTAAGCAATTGGTGGCCGACAATGAATTTGTGCTAGTTGAGTTCTGTAAGTATTGCAAATCTTAAGTAAATACATATGTATATTTACGCGCCGGCTGACGCTTTACGCTGGCTGATTCATACGAATTCGTGGCTACGTGGTCTTTCAACCGGGAGCAAGTGGAACGAAACCGAAGCATCAAAAAATGTCTGCGTGGCATTTGTAGGCCAAAAGAAATTGTTGTTTCATGAGTGTATACGAAGCCTGTGAGAATTCGAGGAATGCAATTGGAGCTTAGCCCAAAGAAAGAAAAAGTCTATAGTTATTTTTCAAGCTCTTTTATCGTTTTTTTAAGCGTTTTTATCTTTCACATCAATGAGACTCGAGAGAGAAATGAGAGTTACGCTCTCTCAGAGTTTTTCCTCTCTCTTCGTTGGTTTGTGCAACTGTCATCTCTTTTCCACGCGTACATCTTGCACCTGTGTGTGTGTGTGTGTAAGGGGAATGGGTGTGGGAGCGAGCAAGCAAACACTGAGTTGTTATTGTTTCTGTTGTTTAGTTCCCATAAAAGTGCCATAACTTCTAAATGTTAAATGCCAATCGAGAAAATGCTTATGCGCACTATTAACTTCAAAAAGCCAATTTTTCTAACTGCTCCCTCTGCTTCAGATCCTTTGACTTCGTGTATGAATTCTTGTTTTGTATTTTTCACTTTTATCAGCAACTTCAATGCTGTCTGCTTCTCTGGGCGTGGCCAAATCTGTGCCCACGCATCCGCTCTATCAATCTCGAATTAGAAAGAAACAAAAGTAAATAAAAGTAGACGGGCAACTCTTCTTTCGAATCTAGGTTAACTAAGCAAGATATTCTTTAAGCGTGCGTTTTTGCTATTGCTTTCTATTCTGGTTTTGGTTTCCGTTCTGTGTGCCCTTTTCTACGTCGGCGCGGCCACGCAATGGAGAGTTCATTCAACTCTTTCATTGCGCCTGCTTGACGGCGCTGTGAGGATTAGAGGATTAGATTTGGATTAAGAGAAAATTCAAATTTTACTTGTACCACGGACAAATCAAAAATCCATCCATATCTTCCCGCAAATTAACACACTTCAGAGATAAACAAAATTCAATGATATTAAAAAGAGTCCCGTCTCCGTATGTCTTCAACATAAAACATCAGTTATGTTTGGACGGCATCTCTATTTTCGACAATATGGCGACGGTGTATGGTTTGTTTATGCTTGCGGTTACGTTTGGTTTTTGTTTGGTGTGTGAATGACAACGTCAGCTAACTTGCTTACTGGTTCTGCGGGTCATCCGAATCAGAAATCTTATCTTCGAATATTGTCTTGTTGTGTGTGCCTGTGCCAATGGCAATGCCAAGGCGAATGGCCCGGCCACGTCACCCGAAGCCATGCCAAGCCGGTGATAAGCAGGGCCTCTTAAACGTTGTCAAGGCGGCATTATGTCATCTCGCCACTGTGGCTGTGTGCGTGGATGCGTGTTAAATTGCAGCTGGGGCTGAGGCAATGGGAATCCACCACGTGGAATTTGCATAATGTCAAACAGCTGCTGGCTATAGAAAAATGCGAAGTGCGAAGGGGCCCTGCTCCAGATCCGTGTCAAATGTAGCGACTTCGATTACAATTGACAGTCCAAAATTAGAATTTTCCGTTTGGATGCCAACTGTGCATGTCCGTTACCATGCATATTAAGTAATAACTCTACGCCACTGAGATATAAAAAGTACGATTTCATTTTAGGTATCAGAACTCCGTTTTCTAATTGCACTCTCCCCCTGTTTTGTGATCCTTCCAGATGCTCCCTGGTGCGGACACTGCAAGGCCCTCGCTCCCGAGTATGCCAAGGCTGCTCAGCAGCTGGCCGAAAAGGAGTCTCCGATCAAGCTGGCCAAGGTCGACGCCACCGTCGAAGGTGAGTTAGCTGAGCAGTACCAGGTGCGTGGTTACCCCACACTCAAATTCTTCCGGAGCGGTGCTCCAGTGGAGTACAGCGGAGGTCGTCAAGCCGCTGACATCATTGCCTGGGTAACCAAAAAGACTGGACCACCTGCCAAGGATCTGTCTAGCGTGGCCGATGCTGAGCAGTTCCTCAAGGAAAACGAAATTGGCATTATTGGATTTTTCAAGGACACCGACTCTGAGGAGGCCAAGACCTTTACCAAGGCCGCCAATGCCCTGGACTCCTTTGTCTTCGGCGTGAGCAGCAATGACGATGTGATTGCCAAGTACGAAGCCAACAACAATGATGTGATCCTGTTCAAGCCATTCGATGATAAGAAATCTGTGTTCGAGGGCGAGCTCACCGAGGAGACTCTGAAGAAGTTCGCTCAAGTACAATCACTTCCCCTGATTGTGGACTTCAACCACGAGTCGGCTTCCAAGATCTTCGGAGGCTCCATCAAATCCCACCTGCTGTTCTTCGTGTCCAAGGAGGCCGGACACATTGAAGCTCACGTCGATCCCCTTAAGGAGATTGCCAAGAAGTACCGCGATGATATTCTGTTTGTTACGATCTCGTCTGATGAGGAGGATCACACCCGCATCTTTGAGTTCTTTGGCATGAACAAGGAGGAGGTGCCAACTATTCGTCTGATCAAACTGGAGGAGGACATGGCCAAGTACAAGCCAGAGTCTAATGATCTGTCCGCCGAGACCATTGAAGCCTTCCTGAAGAAGTTCCTTGACGGAAAACTGAAGCAACACTTGCTGTCTCAGGATCTGCCTGAGGATTGGGATAAGCAGCCCGTCAAGGTCCTCGTTTCCAGCAACTTCGAGAGCGTCGCCCTCGACAAAAGCAAGTCCGTCCTGGTTGAGTTCTATGCCCCATGGTGCGGCCACTGCAAGCAGCTGGCTCCCATCTATGACCAGCTGGCTGAAAAGTATAAGGACAACACTGACATTGTTATTGCCAAGATGGACTCTACTGCCAACGAGCTGGAGAACATTAAAATCTCATCCTTCCCCACAATAAAGTACTTCCGCAAGGATGACAACAAAGTCGTCGACTACAACTTGGACAGAACTCTGGACGATTTCATCAAGTTTCTCGATGCCAACGGTGAGGTGGCTGATGCGGAGCCCGCAGAAGAGACCGAGGAGGAGGAAGAGGCGCCCAAGAAGGACGAGTTGTAAATCCAACAACAATAAAAAATAACAACAAAAGAAAATCCAACAACAATGAACAGCAACATCCCTACAGCAAACAACAGAACCAACAAATAGCAACGTACATTCTGTAGTTTATTTTTATTTTTATGGGTTGTGCCTGTGCGCGGCCAGAATCTCCTAATCCAGCAAATGAGTTTTTGTCATTTAGCTATTGGGTCAGCTGGTCGCCCGACCGCCATCCCAGAATTTGCCACTCACATTTAATCTTCGCATTATCAATTTTGTTGCTTGTATTTGTATTTGCAACGCAACTTTCAACGCTCTCTTCAGATGTTCCGGCGGATTGCGTTAACTTAAAATTCAGTTTTATTGAAGAATGAAGCAAAAGCGATAAATTTAAATATGTAATTCTTAAAGTTTTCTATTTTGGAATTTTTAGAATCATTGAAAGAACTGATTAAGAACTTAACAAATAAAGTTGGTAACAACATTAAAACCAGAAAAAACTACTTCCAAGTCTTCTGATACCCATGCAGATTAATCGATTCAGGGGATACTCAGTTTAAGTTATCGTATTACTTATAACCTGTTCATTTAGAGTTCGCGCACAATGTATCTGAATCAGCTTCCTGATAAAACGCAACATAATTGATAAATGGGAGATCTACAGTGTGCATAAAAATAGGAATGGAGTTACTTTCATCTGCATGTATTTATACGGAAAGAAAACTCAACAGGCTAAAAAATCTATAAAGAAAACTTACAGCTCTTCTTTCGTTTCAGTGGATGTGTCATCAGGTAACGATTTCTCAAAGAAATAAATAAATCAAACTTTAGAATTAAAGATAATTACGATAAAGAAAACTTCTTTCGTTCCAGTGGATGTGGAACTTTAGAATTAAAGATAATTACGATCAAAACGATTAAAGGGTCGGTTCTCAATTCAGATTTTGGCAGAATTTGGAAGACTTTCAAATTAAGTTTAAAACTAACGAGAAGGGACGTGTGAGACGCTTCTTACGCGTCACAACTTTTATACCAGGCACTCTGCTACATATGTACTTAGCGGTTTTTTTGTCAAATTTTACATTTACGCTCCTTTAGATCGCCACCCTCCCCTAGAGAAACACACTGCAGAGTCACGGCAGAGCCAAAGTGTAAATGAGGGAATGCGAAAAAAACCAATATAAGCTGCGGGACGGCGTGGGTTTAGAAACTGAAAATTATTTCTTTAAATTTATTCATTCTGGCTATAATAATGATCCAATCGGACCCCAATTTAGTGATCTGATAGATATGGTCATTCTCTACAGAATGGCGTTTTTAGTTGACATGGCTTTATCGACTTGGCTATTGATGCTGATCAATAATATATATACTTTATGGGGTCGGAAACGTTTACTTCTGTGCGTTACATACATTCACTTTGTGCACAAATACAATATACCCTAGTTACTCTTCGAGTACCGGGTATAAAAAGGTCAACCAATATAAAATAATATAAAACGAGAAGGGACGTGTGAGACGCTTTTTACGCGTCACAACTTTTATACCCGGCACTCAGGACTACATTTAGATGTAGAAGACATCGCCAACCACTAGATATCGTTCACATTACAGAACACGTAGTAAAAAGCCTACTAAATAAAATACATCAAAAAAATTGGATCAGTTAATCCAATCATTTTCCAATTTATGAGATATTTAAACCAGAAATAAAATTGGTACTTTTTCCCTGCACATTCTGTGCAATAATGACCGCTAGGTTTCACATCAGATTTTTCGAAAGTGGCGCCATCTATGAAACTTTCTTGTACGCAACTTGGATGGTCACTCTTTTTCTAATACAGAGCGTTTTAACTTTTAAAAATTAGCTTTTGGCCACTGTTTCCGCAACTCCTCGCAACCAGTTCAGAATCAATTCTCAATTCGCTTCCTCAATTCGATTACATACTTTTTCCCAAGGGTATCATGGTGTTAATCATTTCGTGCCCATGTTGGGGAACAGTGCTGATCACTTTTCGCAGCATGTTGCTGGTCCATGCAATTTATGTTTCTAACGGTAAAACACGCAAGGTGTGATGGAATTCAGCGTACGTGGGGATGGAATAAAGACACTTTGTTGCGAGAGAGAAACATATCTCTCTAGAGAGACAGAGAAAAAAATCCCTACGGAGAAGAGAGAAAATCTTCGAGGGGCATTTGAAAAGCAAACGTATGGGAGTTTTGATACCCTTTATTTTAGAATATACCTTAAAAATATATATATGTATGAAATTCACTACCGTAAATATTCGTTGAAATAATTTTCATAGCTAAAATATCCCCAAAAAATAATGTTTAGCGTTTATATGAGATTGCTAGGCTTCTACGGTGTCTTAAGCCACTACCCATACAGTATATGTATAGTATATAGGGTGCCCATTTCCGGTACATTATATACTTTTCGAAATATTGTAAGCAGTAGAATGAGATCAAATTATATTTCGGTATATTTTTGAGGGTCGTGCGGTGTATCTTATCGATAAATCCGCGGTCACACTGTCGTAATAGCTTCTCTTAAAGTACAAAAAGTATATATATAAACTACCTTTGTAGAGCATATTACAAAAGTAACATGCCTAAGCACAATCTAATGTGTGCTGTATTAGTATCTTGCCTTGGGGTGTCCAAATTTCCAGTATAAGGCGTACTTGTAAGTACGTCGGTTCTTCGGTCGTATTCAGATTTGGGTATGTCTCCCAATAACAACTGAGGGACTTTCACTACAATAACGGGTTTAACCTCTGATTTCTTTTTGTTCAATTTGCATTCGCAGAATTATGAGCTTAACACAAAGCTGCTGCGAGCAAAGGAGCAGCGGCAGGAACAGAAAGAGTAGTAGCAGCATGTTGGACGACTTTGATAAGGCCAGCATCGTTGCCCATGCCGACGACAATGAGTACATATCGCCGGCCACTCCGGAACCCCAGCCGGAGACGGAATTTGCACATTTGACTGAAACTAAGCGAAAGATTCATGATGCTATAGCTGCGCTCAACGATGACAGTTACGACAAACGCATCGCTCGACTTCTCCCGCAGTACGAATGGTGAGTGTGGATGGAATAGGGGTGATGTGGAAGGGGGAACAAGCTCGGTGCTTATTTGAATTATTTATTGGATAGTGCCATTCGGGAGGAGTTTGAAATTGCCCAGTACTCGCCACAGAGATGTCGGAAACTGGCACGCATCCTCACCGGACTCACTGATGTTATTCACACCATATTCAGGTCGGTGCGACAGGATAATGCCTATCGCCAACGTATGTGCAATATTGTGGCCTACTACATATCCTGTGAACTGTGCTCTGCCCAAGAGTCTGTCGAAAAAGAAGAATTCATCATCAATCGAATCAGCAGTTGCCTCAAATTGTTTGTGGAATCCGGCGGCATTGGCGTCCACAAGGAGCATGTTCTCCGCACCCTTCTTGCCGCACCAAAGCTTTTTAATCGGGCTAGCATTCTATCAGTGTTGTACAGGTACCAGTTATAAGACAGCTGTGTTTTTCTCTACATACGCTCGTTCTATTCATTTTTTTTTGTATTCTCTACAGCCGCCTCTTTTCTCATTGGTCCACGCCTAGCATAATGATCCAAGCAGAGCTGCCGGACAAACTTTACATCGAATATATTCTAATCTTTTATTACTGGCAACGACTTGAGCCCGATGAGGCAGTCAAGGAGAAGATTGTCGAATTCGCTGAAAAGTTTATGCGGCCCTCAAAAATATTGGCCACGAGAAGCAAATACGCAGAGTACTTGCCCAAATACAGTGCCCGGGGCACGGCCACGCGTTCTATACTAAATCACCTGCGGCAGAATAGCTGCACAAGTCTGCATATGGCAATCAAAGTTGAGAATCGACCGCCGCAATCCAGCGAAGTGGTGAGTTGTGTTCAGTTTGCCTTCCATTACTTTCTCCATTCGGTTTAACAATGATGTCCCAGTAAAAGGTCTGATTCGGACATGCAGATGGGGAAAAAGGCTCTGCCGGCGCAGTTAGTCGCGTGTCAGGCAAAGGCTGGCTCCACTCGGCTATCCCAAAGTGACTACAATCTTAGCTGAGTACCGAAAGTAGCCACCTTGTGGTGGCACTAGACATGTCTCTAGATTCCAGAATTGTAATACAAATACTTACATGATTACTGCAGGTAATCAGTTCGGATGATGAGGAAAGCTGCCCGCTGTGGAGCAGCGTTAGGTCGAGGACGCCAACGCCATCGTCCAGCCAGCATCACCCTGCCTTTCTCCAGAATCTCTGCAAGAATGCCCGCCAAGTGGAGCCCTGTAAACGAGCGTCGGCTTTGTTTAGTGGCATCGATAACACCATAGAGATTGTGGATCTTCGTGATTCCGATGATGATGTGGAAATGTTCTCTCTGGATTTCAACGTGCCAGCCAATGTGGACGGAAACAACTCAAACTCAAATGATTCGGCCAGTCAGTCCATCGCGGAAGATTACTCAGTGCCCGTCACGCGCATATATCCGACTAACCTCAGGACCTATGAGCGAGGTCCAAGTGCAAATGCCATCTCTGTCTCTGTCCCACCCACCACGTACATAGTGCCCCGAATAGTCAATAGCTATAGCTGTCGAAGAGACAGCCTTCACCTGGTGTCGACAACAGCCCCGCATCTCGTAGATCAGTCGGTACAAACGACTGAGGACGAAGAAGAGCTGGAGGAACAAACACAGGAAAAGGATGCACTGCCCATGTGCCCCCTCTGCTCGGACAATCAGCTACCGGGCACAACCACAACTAAAACCACCGACCTGCTTTACTCAGCCCATAGAAAATCCCACAGTCACTTTCAGAGGAGCAGCAGCGCCAGTAGCAGCGAAGCCAGCACCAAACAGCACCAGGACGTACACCACTCCCACCAACAATCTAGTCAGAATAGCAACAACAGCGATAATTCGATGCAGAAGAAACAGGTTACCTTTAGTCCCCAGCACCTGGGCGTAACTTTCTCAAGAGCGAGCGTAGTCTCATCCAAGAACCCAGCTATCAAACGTTACGAGACAATGGCAGCCTCCAAGGTGGACCGCATTGATAATCTTAAGTGGATGGCTCTTAAAGGTAAGAAGAGACTACTTTCGATATTTCCGGTTACCTGACTGATATCTTTTGCAGAGCACATTCAGGCTAGTGCCAAGATGTTCGCCAAGCTGAACGCAAATAGTAACAATTGTGATAAAGGAAAATCTGGTAGCTACACAGCGATTCCAAAGGTTCCGGGGAACAAGGCCTCGCCGGTCAGAAGTGCGCCTAGGGCGGCCCAACTCACCTCCTCGCAGCTAACGCCGACTACGAGCAATGCCTCCAGCTGCACGCCCACACGCATGAGAGCTACACCCCGAGGGCGAGGAGAATTGCCTACGCCTCCAGCGTCTACGCACAGCTCGGTCAGTCCATATCAGATACTCAGAGCATCCACCGATACCCTGGGCTCCATTGACATGGAGAAACTCGAGGTGAATGCCAGAGTATACAGCTTCAATCGCCGCCTGTTCTCCAAGGCAGCCAACGAGCATGTGGGCTTCTATAACCAGCTGTTGAGCGTGCAGCGGAAGAATCTCCGGCAACGTAGATTGGCCAACCGCACCATAACCAGCAATCTTGTGGATCCAAGGCAAGCGGAGCTTGTCAATTGTGCCAGGCAGCGGTGCCTGCAGCTACGTGCTCTTAATGCCAGTATGCGAAACGAGGCAGAGCAGCTGCAAAATAACCTGACTGCCATTAAGAATTATGCCATGCGGCATGCCAAGCCCATCGTAAGACTGAAACGTTGTAATCTCAATTTCTTGACTAGAATTGTCGAAAGTTCTCATCGATTATCAACCTCGTCAATGGAACCAGTGAACGGCAGTGAATCGGATAAGGAGGCGTGTGGGGGTAATCAGCAGGAACAGAAACATCAGCAGCTTGATCAGAGTCAGCTCAAGCAAAGACGCCGAAGGGGTCACAGCGTTTGGAAGCACATCAAGAAAAAAAAGAAGATTAGGTTGCTGGCTCCCGACGTAACTTCGGACACGGCGCCAGTTGAAGTCCAAAATCCATCCCCAAAGTCAGATCGTGGATCAATGACCGAGCCAGATTCAAAAGATCCAGATCCAATACCAATGCCAGCTTCTAAAGAACCAAATTCTCAAATTCCTGAGATTGGCATGGAGCTGGAAATTCAGGAAGACGGTCTGGAGACTGATGACAGCAGCGCCGTGCCCTCCCCTGCCCACAACATTGAACTGGTGACCAGCAATGTTCCGGTTTACCTGCTCAACGGGGAGAGCCGCGATGTGAGCACCCCTCTATCCAGCCAATTCAGTTGCAGCGGATTCACTGAGACGGCAGCGGCCAGTGATTCCTTTGTCCTATCGAGAAAAGATTAGGCCTTCCTCCTTTGCTCTCCTATTCCCGTAGCCTGGATAGTATTTTAGTGTTTAGAGAGAAGAGAGTATCTGTTGCCCAGTTATCTTATGGCAGTTTAGAGAATTACGAATTGTTGAAAGTTTTTATTATTATTTTTATACATCTCGCTTGCAATATTAACCCCAAACTAAACACGAACCAAAATGTTGTCAATTTAAAACAATGAAATTAAATAGAATATATTTATTCAACTATAGCCGAAGCAACACACTTGACACTTTAGGGCGGAGCCAATGGGTTGGGGCTAGTCGATGTAGTCGTGTCAGCATGCTAAAAGTAAAATAGTCATACAAAATAATAAAATTTTGTAAAATTTCAAGATACTGCATGAAAAGTAAATGTAAATATGAACAGCAAAAGCGATAAGGGTAGGTAACCATCGAATTTATATAAATATGTACCGCTGTATCTCGATTCTCACAGGCTGCCACATACTTTACGAGAGACAGGAACGCATCTCGAAAGAGAAGGGCCAGCGCATCTACATTAAAAAAACCCAGACCGAGGTGTGTGAGCTGTTTCGTCGCACAGCGGATAAAAACAACGCTGCAAGCAAGAAAGCGCGGGACCAGACCCAGCAGAAAGTCTGCGAGCTGAACCAGCGGATCAAGCAGGAAATAGAACAGCTGAAGCTCTTAAGCCACAATATTTTACAAAATCCCGTCGAGTCCAAAGCTTCAGAGTCGGATATGGAACTGCACGATAATAACGCCGAAGCGCGACAGTCCTTGTCTGGAAACCAAGATAACGACACAGAATCTTCCCAAGAAGACATGAGCTTCCGCACAGTGGGCCTGATACAAAAGAGGAACAAGCGGGTTGAAGGCGGCTGTAATTACGTAACCCGGCAGAGGGTCACTAACCACGACCAGAACACACTGTCTGTGTATCAGTGTGATTACGGAAACCCCTCAAGATTCATCGCCTATTTTCCCGGTGCACAACGACAGTTTGAAGATGACAACTGTGTATGCTGCGCGCTGCGAGCAAGTGTTCCCATACCCGTATTGACTAGTCAGAACTGTCGGTATCAGCCTAGCTGGGAATGTGTCAGTTCACGTCCGTTAAGTCCGCGAACGGCAACCGATCTTAACACTGAGCACTTCTGTCGGAATTGGTGTTCATGCATTCCGCCCGTTAGTACCCTGAAATGCAAACAGAAAAGCCGGCGTAATTCGGAGGAACCGTGCGGGTCGAAGAGCCGGAGCTCCTCAAAAGCTGTAAAATCGCTGGACGACAAGATGCGCAAGAAGATTAAGAAAAGCGGAGCCAAAATCGACTCGGCTTCGTTAGACCAGTATAAGGTACAGAGTTCCGAAAAGCTTATTATGGTCACCATGAAAAAGGAACCAAAGTCCCTATCAGCCGCACGCCAGCGTCAGTCAAAAGCTCGAGCAGGCGAAGAGATTTCCCAAACAGGAATGGAAAAGTCCACTTCCGCGGACAAGCAATCGGATGAGAGCAAGGATAGCATGTATCGCGACTACATGGACAAGTATAGAAAGGAAAACGGTAACGCAGAAAAATTTGGTGGAGCAGCAAACCTCGCACAGGATTACGCCCAGGTTGATTGGTTTGCAGATGGTTGTGGTCCTGGCTATTGTGAAACGGATCCCATTTGCTCCGCTGACAAGAGAATTGGGCAGGGCAGAGCCGAGTGCCGCATAAAAAAATGCGTTTGCGTTGCACAAGAATCACAAACTGATGAAGAATACACAAAACATCGCTACACACAGGAACAAGCCCAGGTTGATGGCAGTGAACCGAAATCTGGACAAGAGGAAGTCCGTCCAGAAGGGTATGTAGATCTCGAGGAATCCACAAATGACGAAAGAGGGGACGGGGACGAAAGGTATGTCGATCGTTGCGGTCCTGGCTATTGTGACAAGGATCCAATGTCCAGCCCTGATAATCAAGTTGAGAGGAGCAGAGGCGTGTGCGACAAAAAATGCTCTTGCATTTCCCAGGAAGTCCAGACTGATAAAGAATCGATCAAGCAGGAGACGACGTTGACCCAAACGGATCTACAGTCGCTAGAGAAACCCACTCAAACCGATCTCCAGGGAAGTAAACACGAGACACTCACCCAAACGGATCCAGAACTCAGCCATCAAATTAGCACCGGTATGTCCCCTATATCGGGGGCGACTATCAAAGACTCGAACTATGACTTAATACAGCAGTCGCCAAATGATGTCAAGGAAGATGTAACATCTGCATCTCCGAAAGAGACTCTCTCAGTAGGTCAGAATCAAATTCAAGGAAGCTATTCGCCTGCAGCTGCATCAAGGAAAAGTTATTGTGCTCAGACAAAAAAATATATGAAATATATTAATCGAGGATACCTAACAGAGGGAGCTCAGGAAGAAGCACACACAGTATGCAGTAGCAAATGTCCTCGCCATAGGGCTAGGCAATGCCAGTGTTTGCCAGTGTCCCCTGGTACAAGTCAACGAACGGACGCAATCCAGGACTACAAGGAGGAACAGTACCAAGCTTACGACGGAGACAATACAGTTGTTCATCAAGTATCCTCGCATCATGATCTCGAAATGCGCACAGCAGGTCGCACGGAAAAGGCTTCGCCATTTTGTGCTCCATTGACCTCGGATGATAGCTGTGAGCCTCATCCAGTTGAATGTTACTGCGACTTCAGCCGCAATGTCGTGAAATTAAACTCTTCTTGCTGCACTGAGTATACAGGACGGTCTATGGCTTCGTCACCCGAGAAGTCACAAGAGAGTGTCCCCGAAAATACCGATCATCATTCCCCCTACGAATCAACGTATCAGCAAAGCTACGGTAGCTCTGCGGTTCCAGTACGCGTACACCGGAATGTAAATACCAGCTGTTATGACGAGGATAATTGTACGTCTGCTGAGGCCAGCCCTGATTACTCAAGTTTTCCCGGCCACAGTCAGTACGGGTCCTGTGCAACTGATTGCACCGGACGTAGACGCTCAGGACGTAATTTCTCCAATGACAGTTATCATGAGTCACAGGCAGCGTCAGGGAGTCTTGGGTGTGAACAGTACTCGGATGGCAGAGCAATTATTCCGCCCATGCAGTCACTAGTTCCAAGCCAGCCTAACTATGCTGAGGCTAAGACAGGACTGCCGATTATGATCTGCGAGAAGCGTACGCGCTCTGTCACCTTCGAGGACGAGAGCGGAAAAGTACGCAGGATGCGCAATGTTGTTGAGCACTGTCGAAGCAAAATAGAATGGGAGAAGGTCTTAACCCATCTGGATTGCGATGCGGACATCAGTCACTCGGATGCTGCCTTCGGAGGAAACAATTCCACAGATGACGAAGAATGCACTTGTACTTGCCGTAAGAAAAAAGATATTTTACTTACACTTTCCACCTTCAGCACCCACTATTAATGGTACATTCTCAGGGTCAAGTAGCTCTGCCGGCACCGAGATCACCTGCGTAGAGTCAAACTGTGATCTTGATGATGACTTCTGCAACAACGAACATAGCTCTAGATCGCAGCCAAACTGCGGTAGCTTGCCGAAATTTAATCACTGCCCCTGCATGCTCAGAACTTATGTCAGTCTGGCCTCCATCTGCACGCCAAACAGCCGATCCATTCAGTAGGATCAGCCTTGGTGTCAGCACAAATTTTAGTTACGTTTTTACAATCTTTATTATACAACTTCGAGAGCCCTAAGAACGTTAAATTTGAGTTGAAATAAAAAAAAACAAACATAAGGGAATAATAAAGGGATCGAACTAGCTACAATGTTTCCGAGGGCACCCTGGGACTGACTTCACGTGTACGTGCCCGACAGAAACGATCCTGGTCGAGGTTCTTACGTAGTTCACGTGCCTGCTCTTCGTACTTGGTGGCCATTAGCTCCTGCTGGGTGCAGCGGGCACGCTCCTCCTGCAGCTTTTCCTTATTGCGGCAGAGTACAGGCTTATGAGTCTCGTCTATCAAAGTTACTTGACGCTTGCTTACCATGGTCTGTTGGTATAGATGTTGCAGTCGATCCATCTCGTTGTTTGTCCTGATGCCATTGTCATCCTGACGCTGCTGATCCTGGTGCAGGTTCTCCAGCAACTGATACGTGGTCTCTGTGGTTACTTGGGAGACGTTCGCCGTCCGGTGGAGTTCGTCGCGCAGCTTCACGCATTGCTTCTCTAGCTGCGAAGTTGATTCTAGTTATTGTGATGCCATAAACCACTGGGTAGACTACGCACTTGCTTGGATTAGCATGCGATGAAAACTAAGACCTTAGCAAGGATACTGATACATATAAGCTGTGGGGACCGGGCTATAGCTCACCTTCTTTCTAATTTCATTGACTTCATTTAACTCGGCATTAAGCTTTGCCTTTTCCACATCCAGCTTGTCACACAGCTCTTTGCGTGCCTCAAGATCGACCTTCTGGATGCGCAGATCGTCGCGGACATTCTCCAGCTCCCTCTCCAGGCAGCGCGCGGTGGCTCTAGCGGCAGCTAATTGTAGTTCCATCTCCTTCAGATTGCACTCACAACACTGCAGATGATCCTTGAGTATGCGCATCTCGCACTCCAGCTCGCAGATTTGACGTCTGAAACGATTTTACATTAGAGAAAATGAGAAATTTTTTTAATGCATAATGCATAATGTTTACTTACTTTGACTCGGCTGCCTCGCACTCCAGACTCTGATTGTTTCCCTCAAGCACCACCTGCTCGTTGGTGAGGCTGTGGAAGTTGTCCAAGAGTTCGTCACGCTCCTTTTCCTTTAAGGTTCGAGTAGAACACACCTGTCGGCATTAGCTAGGCGGCTCGAGTACTTGGCTCTTATACACTATGTACTTCAAAGAAAAGACTGACCTTTTTCAGGAGCAGGTCCTCTGCCTTCTTCACCTCCTGGACGTACTTGTGTAGCTGATCCTTCATGTTCGCTACCTTCTGCTCCGACTCCTTGAGCTTTTTCTGCAGAGTCCTGACTTCCACCTGGGCATCGCTGAATACGTCCATAAGGCGGCTGATCGATTAAGAAATGTGAACATATGTGTGCATGTACATTGTATTAGTGCCATCAAAACTACATATTAATAGTCGCCTCTGTGTGGGGAAAAACTTTGCCTGAGCGCGGAAGCAGTTCTACGATCTCAGCTGCGGTAATGTCTTTTTTGCTCACCCATTCTCTGCTATGGCCTCATCGCGGCTGGCCTTAAGTGCCACAATCTGTTGCCGCAGCACTTTACTTTCTGTTGAAGTCTCATTCAGTTCCGAGTCGCACTGTCGATTTCTGTTGCTCAGTTTGCTGTTTGGGTAGAGTGAAAAATCAATTATATATATATAAAAATTCCTGTCAATCCTTTCTTAAGAAGGATAATGGGACACCTGGTTCGCATACATCAATTATTATACCCGGTACTCGAAGAGTAAATAAAGTATATTGTATTTGTGCGAATAACGGTTGTATGTAACGCACAGAAGAACACGTTTCCGACCCCATAAAGTATATATATTTTTGATCAGCATCAATAGCCGAGTCGATTGAGCCATGTCTGTCTGTCCGTCTTGTTTGTCGGCTAGTTCTCAGAGACTAGTAAACGGAGATTTAGATGGATGTAGATGACAGATGAAGAAAAAAATTAAAATTTGACAAATAACCGCTAAGGTACAGATGTAGTCCTGAGTGCCGGGTATAAAAGTTGTGACGCGTAAGAAGCGTCTCACATGCTAAAACTCTCTTTTAGCTCGCCCTCCTACCCTAGAGCCACACACTGAACGAAGCAGAGTGTGGAATGAGAGAATGTGCAAAAAATAAAAAAAGCTGCTGGACGGTGTGGGCGTAGCAAATTAATTTCATCATTCTGGCTATAATAATGATCCAATCTGATCCCAATTCGGTGATCTGATAGATATGGTCCTTCCCTACATAATGGAATTCTTTAATCTTCAAATTGTGAATACAGCAAATTTTCACCCTTTGCGGGGGAGGAAGCGGCGGGGCGAAATTTTGAAATACACTGTTTAGCATACAGCCATCTGGATGAACAATTTGGATGGACAGACAGACATGTCTCTATCGACTCGGCTATTGATGCTGATCAAGAATATATATACTTTATGGGGTCGGAAACGCTTCCTTCTGTGCGTCACATACAACCGTTATTCGTACAAATACAATATACCCTATTTACTCTTCGAGTACCGGGTATAAATATATAAATATACTTTATGGGGTCGGAAACGTCTCTTTCTGTGTGTTACATACATTCACTTTGTGCAAAAATACAATATACCCTATTTACTCTTTGTTACCGAGTATACAAGTACGAGTAAGCCGAAATTTTAAATATCACAAAGAATCGGACAAGGCAAAAATATGTTGCTCATATTTAGAGAGAGACGTCGTCTGCCTACAGAGTTCCACCAATGCCAAAGACTAGAAGAGCCTGGCCATATCACAGGCGGTAGTTCCATAAGAGACACAGAGATATACACAGAGGTAGATGTAAATTCCAGGCACGTAGCCACACATCCGCGCTTCGGCTTGAAGCTCAAGAACACATAGCTCACAGAGCAATGCAGTACCAGTCAAAGTCGCCATCGACGTCTTTGTCTGTCAGTCATTAAGGTTAAACAAAGTTCGAATACCTGACGCGGACTGACGGAGAACCGAAAAGGCTAAGAGAAAGAGAATGTTTATATATTTATATATGTATGTAATTAAATGCTTGTATGGACTTGTGTGTGCTCGATGACTGACATTTTGACGCCCGCTGCTTGCTGTTGGCTTTACGGCCAAAGTAGTTAAATCATTGCTACTAAATCTCTGAGTAAACTGTGCTGCTCTGCCTGAATAGTTTGTCGTTTCCATGGAAGAGCGCGCTGGACGCTAAGAGCGAGTCAAACAGACCAGCGGAAAGTTGGCCGGGCTCAGATGTTTTTTACCTGGCTGAGCGAACGGACGGCTCAGTCGGTCTATTGTTTGGGTCGGTCGCGTCGAGTCTGTGTTGCCTTAGGGAATTCAATTGTATATCGTTTGGGTGATCGCGTTTTGAATGTGTTATTGTGGAGAGGAAGCTATTTTTCCCTATAACTAGTTTTTGAAAATTCACGAATAAGTTGCAAAAGGTGCCTAAAGAAATATGTAACCGCTAATCATTGTTGTGTGTCGAGCCAAGACTCACAGGAGAGGGAATATTTTGATTGGATGTGAACCGAGCCCCAAATCAAACAAAACTGAATCCCAAACCTGTTGCTTTTACAGCATCTAACAAAACAACCTAAGGCTGGCTGGAAATCACGCAACTATCCAACAGCATGGACTGGAAATATATACATATATGGGGAGCTGGTGCAGAGTGTAGCACTTCTCGTGTCCATCGCTTGGCTGGCTTCTGCGGCTGCGGCTGCTGTTGTTCATGTAATGCTTGCCACTGTTGCAGGTTTCGTCATTTGCTCTTACATCAAAGGCGTTTCGATTATGAGCAGCAGAAGATTTCTGGCCAAGCAGAAACAAGGAAAAAAGAAGTCAAGTTAAATGGGTATTTGGGTCATGGTTAACAGCGCACGAACCGCTCTCTGGTTTTCTGTTGTGGTTTTTGGTTCGTTTCGGCTCTGGCACGCGGTCGGGGTCTGGCTAGTTTCAGTCCAAGCTCACCGATAATCAGATGCCCCAAAGAGTTGGTTAATTCAAATTAGGCCCGCTTCGGGGCCTGTGCCTGCGACTTTGACAGCAAAAGTTAATAGATTTATTAACAGCTGCCTCGACATGAGAAAAATTATCAATCATTCGGTATAATGAGAGCCGAGCCTCCTCTCCTTTTCCTCCTCTGGCAAACAATAGCGTAAATCCATTAGTCGCCGTCGCCGTCGACGACCCAGCTGATGCCAAACTATTGAACTTGCTCTTCCAGGTCCACCATGACACGACGCAAGCTGCTAATCTGCTGGGCAGCCCTCCAGGCGGGCTCAACAATGATTACATGCCTGCTACTGCTGCTGACCACCTCACAGCCCGGCAATCAGGTGGCGGCCGGAATTGTGCCGCCACCCTGGAGTGATCCGGCCACGAACCCCTGTGCCAGCATGTCCGGGGGCTGGCAGCTTCTCTATTGGACGCCGCTTAAGAAATGCTTCAAGATCTTCACTCTGGGCTATCCCTGTCCCGACACCATGGAGCTGAGTCCCACACCAAGTAATGCCAAGCGCAAGGATCTTCCTGCGGCCGAGTGCCGCTGCCCGCCAGGAACTGCTCTCAGTCCTCTGACCAGCTCCGTTTGTCACAAGCTTTACGAGCGGGGTCCGTGTCAGAGAACAGAATATTTCCACCCCCTACCAGATCAGGCCAGGCGGTGAGTCTCCGGAGGGATTTGGCTCATTCATCATTACTTCAGTCCCAATTTCCTCTTCTTAGGACTGGCAACCGGTGGGGCACCTGCAAGCGTCCGTTGCAGTGCGTGGATGGAATGATCTTTTGGCCGAGAGATAACAAGTGCTATGCCCGGCATAGGCGTGGGCCCTGCAGCCGGGGAAAGTTGCTGGTGCGCAACGAGGAAGGGCTGGCCGAATGCCGATGCGAGGATGCAGGCGAACTGGCCTTGTACTACTCCCCAGCGGAGGACTCTTGCCACGAGCACTATACCAAAGGACCTTGCTCTACGCCTGGTCACATTTTCATGCCGGGTGGTCGGTGCGACTGCCAACAGCATCTGCCACAATACTATGTCCCTCAGCAGATGTGTTTCGAGCTCGGTAGGATTACATTTGACAGCACGGTAGTCCCCCCACCCCCTCCTTATTCGCAGTTCTCCCCTCATTTCAGATACTCCGGGACCCTGTCCTCCTGGACACATATTTCGCATACCCGACAATACTGAGGTTGCGACAGGTGGCTCTTTGCAGCTTTTTCCTCGGGCCAAGTGCCTGTGCAAGGAAGGCTACGTGCCCTGGGCCGATGGCAACTGCTATCGTTTGTACACACGGGGACCGTGCGGTGCCAACGAGTTTCTAGTAAATGCCACTTCCTGTGTGCACAATTTTTGCGGTAAGAGTCGTCTGTACTTCCCGGCCGAGGACTCTTGCTATCGTATTGGCTCCCAGGGTCCGTGCTCCCTCTATCAGGTGGTAATCTTCGATTTCACCGCACGCCCTTCGCTCGACGGCATCTCCTTTAATGGAATGTGTGGCTGTGCGGGAGTGCTCACCAACTTGGACCAACACTGCTCAGGCTTGGGTTCGGACACCGACAAGGAGCAGAACATCTGCGAGTCCACGCCTGGAATGGTCGAGAGCAACGGCCAGTGCCACAAGCTGTACACTCGAGGACCCTGTGGGGCTGGCCAGTGGCTACAGCCACTCAAGACTCACTCACAGACGAATACAGAGACTCTTGCCTACGCCAGTCGCGCCAAGTGCGTCTGCCGTCCTGGCTACACGCCAACGGAGGCGGACCAGAGGGGCCAGAGCAACTGCAGTGCTCGAAGCGTGAGCCTGGCGAGGTATTTAACGAGAGAGCGACACAACTCAAAGTTCCTCAATGATCTACACACTGGTACTCCCTCCCTAAATGTTAACACGAGCTTTTCAAACTATCCTTTGTAGTCTCTGGGTCTGGCTTTGAGTCCCCCGCATGTCTCCTTTCATCATTCCACTTTTTTATCTTTTGTGATGCATGCTTAGTGTTTTTAGATCGCAGTAGTTCGGCTGTTATTTCATTAACCATTTTTTTTTTGTTATTTTAGGTGGCTTTTAGACATATTCGGGTAACCTTTTCGATGTTTTCGCAACCTCGGGGGATGGGATTGTGCCATGAAGTTATTAAATCGACTTACATATGTATGAGTTGTATTTAAGATAAATCTCGATAAGACAATTAAAATAAATCAAGATGAAAACTAAAGAAGATTGCTTACATGGACAGATAGATTTAATTCAGCCCTAGACCCGGAATGGCTGCGCCACCAAGGGGCCCAAGCGACAACGAAGCCTATGTCGCTTAGACGTGGATCCTAGGCAGATCCACAGGCCCACCACAATAGAAACTAATACTTGAGTAACTTATATTTCCCCGCCCTAACCAGCCGCACACAGCACGCGGTAGATTTGAGCTAGCGAGAGAGAATGATCAAGCACAAGCAGGCTGCTGGAAGGGTTGCGGGGTAGCCACTGCAAATTAATTTCTTCATTGTGGCTACAACAATGATCCAATCTGGGATCATTACTCCGGGGATCTGATATGATTGTCGTATCTGCCTTTTGTGGAGGCGAAGCGAAATTTTGAAATACACTTTTAACAGTGCAAAACTTGGATCCTCTAGCTCTTTCCGTCTCTAAGAACTAGGCGCTCATCAAGACGGGCAGACGTAAATGGCTATATCAACTCGACTATTGATACTGATCTAGAATATACATACTTTGTGGGGTCGGAAACGTTTCCTTCTGGGTGTTAAATCTACAGATATGTAAGTATTCAGCAATAAGTAAGTACTCACCGCACTTGATCTTCCAGCTCCTTGACGCTTTGCTCCAGACAATTTCTCTTCTCCTTGCAATTCTTGAGCTCGTTTTCTAGTTTATATGCTCGCTCGGTTTTGCTATCCAGTTGATGCTAGAAGATAACGAAAGTATTACGGAAGAAAGTGGAAAGTGGAGCAGAGCTCTGGTCTTTTACCAGAAGAGTGTCCTTTTCATTCTCCAGGGTAATGTAGGTCTGACGCAGGGCACCGATTTCACTGCGCAGATGGGTGACCTCATTCCGGTTGGATTCGCGACTGGAGTCCAATGTGCTGGCCCGGACATCTGCAGACTGTCGCTGGCGCTCGGATATCATCAGTTTACTTTGAAAAACTGCTATAATTCGTTCATTCTGCTCATTGAGCATGCTGCCAGAAAGAGTTTTCGATTAGAAATGCTACTCATCTTGAGCAATAGAATAGTTGACTCACGTTATCTGCTCGTTCTCGGTCTTTAGCTCGTCGATTTCGGCTTGAAGCGAGGCCAGACGATGCCTTAGCTGGGTTATGTCCTCTTTGAGCAGAGCCATATTCGTTTCCCCTGGAAGGCGAGCTAAGTTCAGGTCCTTGTTATCGCGTTCCAGCTGCCGCAATCGGCCATTGAGATCCTCGTTGCGCTGCCGAAGGGCCAGGAGCTCCTCTGCATGCAATTGAACGGAACACAGCTGCTTCTCCCTTAGCATATTCCGCTCGCAGCGCACTCGCTCCAGCTCCGACCTGGCACAGTCGCGCTCCCTTTCGACACGCCCGATGGCCGCCTGGACGCAGTCGCTTCGATGGCTGTTGGTCTCACTGATGGAACCACTGGCGGTGGATGGAGGCAGGGTCTCGTAGTGGGTAGTCTTTTGGGGCGAGTATTGAAGTTTGTTGGAGCACAGTTCATTCCGCAGTGTCCGTAGCTCTTCGTCCTTTGACTGTATTTGGACACGCAGGAAGGCTATCTCCGAGTCTGAACCGGATCTGGCCATCATCCGTAGATATTCCTTCTGAAAGAAGTCCCGCTCTGACGCCAGCCGAATTTTCTCTTCATCCAGGCTCACGGAGCTGTTTTGGTTCTGGTCCTTCGCCTCCTTCTGCATCTCCGATATCTTGAAATGCATTTTGCTTAGCTTCTTCTTCTGCTTATCAATGATGCTATTTAATTCTTCCTCGCGACGGGTTAGCAAATTAAAACGTTCGTTTAGATTACGCTTGTCACAGGGGACAGCAAAAGGAGCTTCTCCCCCTGCCAGACGTACCTCGTTTAACTGTTGTTCGTTTTGCTGCTTCAACTGCTTCAGCTCGTCCTGGAGATGCTTCACCTCCAGCTCCCGGGCATCGATTTCTAAATTAGCTTGCTCTTCGACCTGGAGGGCTGCCTGTTTGAGCTCATCTAAGCTCATTTGAAGCTTTCGGTTGTCTTCGTCTGAGCTTACGGCCCTCTGCATTGCATTGTGCATTTTGTCTTGGTACTCGCGCACCTGCATAATAAGCTCACTCTTCTCTCGTTGCAGCAGGTCAATGTCCTTCGATAAGAAACCCACTTCCTTATAGCAACAGTCCTTGGCCAAAGCAGCGGGCGGCCGTCCCCCAGTCAGCATATCATTTAGCCGTGCAATCTCCCGATTGCGCGACTCAACTTTTCGCTTGTAGAACTCCAATTGTTCGATGGACGTGGCGAGATCATTTTGCAGCTTGTCCAGCTCCTCCTGGTCGCTGGTCTGTGTGACGGTCACCCCATTCTGGGGGGTGTTCGCGGCCTTAAACACTCCCGCATTGCATTTCGTACATTTCAGTGTAGTGCCAAGAACGCAGGGCAGAACGTTTCCGGAGCGTACTGTGGTTATAAAAGGTTTCTTGGCTACAAAAAAAAGTCCAGCATTAAACAACATTTATCAGTAGAGGAACCTAATAACATACTCTGGCGGGTTGTCGACACTTGCGTCCGTTTGCCTGTCGTCGAAGAAACCATTTGCTTGGATAGCAAGGCATCCAGCTGGTTCTGTAACACCACGTTATGGCTTTGCAAGTGCTCCTTATCCGTCTCCAGACTTCTCACCCGTCGTTCGGCCTCTGTGGACAAACATTTTATAAAGTGTTCCCAAGATCAAGTTGTCTTGATAACATACCACATAAGCGAAGCTCGTAGTCCTCGCGATCCCTAAGAAACTGCAAGTGGAGTTCATTGCATTCAGCTAGCAGGCGGGAGTTGTCGCATTTGTAGGGTTCGACGCCCAGTTCCCAACAGGCTTTCTCCTTTAAAGACACAACAAATCGTCGCTTAGTAACGTCGCTTGACCCATTTCCCCAATGGTAATCTTGACAGTCTTAGCTACTATAAACATATTTATATTTTCGTACCTCTAGCAGAACGGAAACTTGCTTCTTTGTGTCCCTGAGACATTCCGTTGTCTTGACCAGGTCGCTGAAAATTCCTTGAACCAGTGGAATGGCCAGGACGGGCAGCGTTTGATTGAAGCCCATGACATCCAATTTGGAGCGCAGATCCTTGAATTCGCCATCGTTAAAACCACTCATGGATATCTGAATTTCTTCTTTGAATGTACTCAGCTCAATAGTTTCAATATTGATTGCAAAATATACAAATAAAATATAAAAAACAAACAAATAAATGCGCCAAGAGTTAAAAAGTAGCGTAGGCAGTGTGACTGTTGACTTATTGAGCAAATATACCAAATATATACATTTTGGTATATTTTGACACCATGTAATTTTCAAAATGTACCGTAAATATACCAATGAAAATCATAAACTTTATTTTTATACCCAGTGTCATAAAGCAACTATATAAGGAGGTCTCGTCGGAAAAGATTATGGACTAGTGCGAGTGAAAAGTGCGAGTGAAAGGGCTCTCGCTGTAAGTGTGAGCGCAACGACAATGGAGTGTGCTGATTAACCATTTGAAGGCAATGTGAAAAAACATAATAATTGTTACATAATTTAATTTTTAATAGTTTGCTTCATGACAGTAGTCTGTGTTTTGAAAAAATAAACATTTTGAAAAAATTGGAACAACAATTTTGTCCGCAACCAACCATCCGCGTCGACAAGCAAACGAGCACTGATGGCAAGAAAAAACAGCGAGTAACTCTGGCACCGACGAGGCCTCTTTATAGTTTCTTCATGTACAAATGTAGCTGGGACTTATAGCTGCGTGTTCTACACTAACTAATACTTGAAGCTGCGACGTTTGCAGAGGCCTGGGACTTCGAGACGCACATTCAGCGGTGACGTTTCGCTTCTATGAAATTAAGAATCTACTTCTGCGACGTTGGCAGAGGCCTGGGACTTCGCGACGCGCATTCGGCGGTGACGTTTCGCTTCCAAGAAATTAACAATCTACTACATACGTTGTTCAACACTGGTGACGCGCGTATCTCGTTTTTACCGCGGAAAGTAGAAAATTAGCTTATTTCGTAAAATAGAGCCTAAACTCGCTTATAATAAGCAATAACCCGATCACCCGTGGTTACCCCACATCCTGATAAAGACGGCGGGACAAAAGTGGCAGTAGATCCGTATTTTTACCGGATAACCTTGCCTCTCAGCAATGGCGGCCCAGCAAAGCCAGTAACACGGAAGCTAGTGCAGCGTAATCCGGAACCATGGCTGGCATAGGAAGGACCAGGATGGCCACGGAGAAGGCCACAGGATCAAGGATCCTAGTGGAGACGCGGAAAAAGAGGGAAGGAGACCCCAGACCTGCTTTCTCGGCAGGCGTAAAAATGGCGGGAAAAACAACAGTTACGACGACAAAAACCACCTTGAAAGAGAAAGAGACGAAAAACAAAACTACCAAAACAATTACAAGTGAGAAAGAGAAAGCGGATGTGGATGTTTGTCAGACGTCCGTGAGTACAAGATCAACAACGACAACTAACAACAACAAGAACAAAAACAACAACAACAACAAAAACAGCAACAGCAACAAGGACAACAACAACAAAAACGTCAACAACAAATACTACGAGGGCCACAAAGGCCCTTTTGTAGTGTATATAGATAAACTAAGCGATAATAATTCCAGGATCGCAATTAACCAGTTCGAGCTATCCGAACTTTTGATAAAACTGGGACTTGGCGGTATAGAGGAGGTCGCGAGGGTAGGCTATGGCAGGTGCAAGATTTTATGTAGGTCGGCTGACGGTGCAAACAAACTTGTGGAAAACAGTGCCTTCGCCGCCCACGGGTACTCTCCCCGAATTTTGCGGCACTTTGTGCAAAGGGCGGGTCTAATCTTTGGGATCCCTGGCCACCACTCGGAGGAGCAGCTCTCGGAGCTGATCATCTCGGACGTCCCGCTAGAGGGAATACAACCAATTACCAGAACTGACAGAACCTCGGGGGATAGGGTACCCACCGGCAGGGTCAAACTATGGTTTAGAGGGGAGCAGCTGCCCAAGGAAATCAAGTTCCTANCGAAGCGCATGAAAGACCGCGTGATATTGTGCGACTGTTATGCGGCATTGGCAACCATTTGCTGAAGTTGCCTAGTACCAATGTAAAGGACCCAAAAATATACGTTGTTCAACACTGGTGACGCGCGTATCTCGTTTTTACCGCGGAAAGTAGAAAATTAGCTTATTTCGTAAAATAGAGCCTAAACTCGCTTATAATAAGCAATAACCCGATCACCCGTGGTTACCCCACATCCTGATAAAGACGGCGGGACAAAAGTGGCAGTAGATCCGTATTTTTACCGGATAACCTTGCCTCTCAGCAATGGCGGCCCAGCAAAGCCAGTAACACGGAAGCTAGTGCAGCGTAATCCGGAACCATGGCTGGCATAGGAAGGACCAGGATGGCCACGGAGAAGGCCACAGGATCAAGGATCCTAGTGGAGACGCGGAAAAAGAGGGAAGGAGACCCCAGACCTGCTTTCTCGGCAGGCGTAAAAATGGCGGGAAAAACAACAGTTACGACGACAAAAACCACCTTGAAAGAGAAAGAGACGAAAAACAAAACTACCAAAACAATTACAAGTGAGAAAGAGAAAGCGGATGTGGATGTTTGTCAGACGTCCGTGAGTACAAGATCAACAACGACAACTAACAACAACAAGAACAAAAACAACAACAACAACAAAAACAGCAACAGCAACAAGGACAACAACAACAAAAACGTCAACAACAAATACTACGAGGGCCACAAAGGCCCTTTTGTAGTGTATATAGATAAACTAAGCGATAATAATTCCAGGATCGCAATTAACCAGTTCGAGCTATCCGAACTGTTGATAAAACTGGGACTTGGCGGTATAGAGGAGGTCGCGAGGGTCGGCTATGGCAGGTGCAAGATTGTATGTAGGTCGGCCGACGGTGCAAACAGACTTGTGGAAAACAGTGCCGCCCACGGGTACTCTCCCCGAATTTTGAGGCACTTTGTGCAAAGGGCGGGTCTAATCTTTGGGATCCCTGGCCACCACTCGGAGGAGCAGCTCTCGGAGCTGATCATCTCGGACGTCCCCATAGAGGGAATACAACGGATTTACAGAACAGACAGAACCTCGGGGGATAGGGTACCCACCGGCAGGGTCAAACTATGGTTTAGAGGGGAGCAGCTGCCCAAGGAAATCAAGTTCCTATACACCAAGGTAGCAGTAAAACCTTTCGTCCAGTTTAGCCAATGCTTCAGGTGCTTCAGGTTTGGTCATATGGCGAAGCACTGCAAGAGCCTGCCTAGATGCTTCAAATGTGGTCGGGACCACAGCACCAACACTCTATGCTCGGGGCTAAGCTGTGCTAACTGCAAG